CAGGAGAAAACAGCCTGTTTGCGATGCCAATTGCGACGCCATTTGACACAAATTGATGCCATCACAGCCGCTTTTATGCCATCGCAATCACTGTGACGGCATCATTTTGTGTCAAAATAGCATCGCAGTTTGCATCGCAGACGTGCCGTTTTCTATCAGTGATAGCTGCATATCCTGGATATCGAATAGGATATCGGGGGCCCCCATATCCTGAATATCGAATATGGTATGGGCCCATATCCCAAATGCGCGTATCCAGGATATGGACGTTTCGTATCCAAGCTATCCCATTGGCGCCCGTGGCGAGAATATGGCCATGTCCTGGACAAACACATCCACGATGCGCAACTTTACCGATGAAAGGTAAGAAGGCTGCTCGAGCAGCAAGGTCTTAGGGTGACACACGCCACTCACCACCGTGTGTACTGCCAAGACCGAAGCAGACACGCTTTTTGCTGATGGGTAAAGTAAGTGTATGTCGTAATGTTCTGGTAAGCATCCAGCACGTTTAACAACTTGTGGTATTTTCTGTCTGCATCACCTGTCCTGGTCCTTTCCAGGACTTCCCATACACCTGAGGCGAAGTTGCCGATACTACACAACTCCCATGGCGGTCAAACCACACCACACACTAAATTGTAATCAAAATTGTGGGAAATCGTTTGCTGTTATTGTGCTCGACCTGGTCCAGATATGTGTGATCTTGGCTCTGTAGCTTGTGGCACTTTGAACCCAGGCGACGAGTCTGAGTTGGCAGGGGAGTCATGGTGGCGGGTCCCAGGCAGAACACATGTGCAGGGGCTGTTCTCTCCAACCGACCTTTTGGTAGTGCTGCTGAACTTCTGAGTTTTAGGGCACGCGGCTCTTCAACTACTGAGTTTTTGTGCACGCGGCTCCTGAACTACTGAGTTTTAGGGCACGCGGCCTAAAACCCCAGTGCATACACTCACGTAAGGGATGCCAGACGCCACCTGCAGGAAGTGGGGCCGAACACACTGGTTGTGGCCTGCATCACTCTGCACCGCGACCCAACAGGTCCTGATGATTTGTTGCTGCGGTACGTAATGTACCGCCACTTCCACACCCGGCCACAAATTGGCCCGATGGTCACGGCGCACTGGGCGTGAAGTGTAATGCGCCACTCAATCCGCCGCTGATGGCCGCAACGTTGCGACTATGAAGAGGGCAAGTCACACATACCAGCCCCTTCCCCACCTGCATAGTAAGTGCCAGTGTGGCCGTGTTCTTGCTGGTGCTGGCACGTGGTTCGCACCGACTTGTTCAAATTGAGACGCCGGCCGCAGATGCACCGCCACACGGACTACGAGCGTGAAATCGGAACCCCCTTGGGCGGCAACCGCGCCAAGGTGAGGCCGGGCTGCCGTCAAGGCGCACCGCTGCGCACGGTCGGCGGCAGCCATAGGGGCATTGGCCCACTCCTGTCGCCAAGCCCGCGCTGTCCCACAGCCACGGCCCACTCCGCACTGCACCGGCGGCGGCGCGCAGGCCATTCGCCCCTTTCCGCCACGCTCCCGTTCGGCCTCACGTCTCTAGCCCGCATTGCGGCCGGAGGGAGTGCCACCGACTTGACACGAAGCAGGTGCCCCGTCCCTTACGGGGGATGCGGGAGAGCCCGCCCTGTCTGCGCTCACGGAAATGACCCCGGCGTTCTCAGTGTTCAGGGCACAGAATCCGTCCAGGGGAAACAAGACGACGGCACACCTTCTGTACGGCCCCATGGCGGTGCCCCCGCATTGAATGACCTGTCACTTCCGGTGCCGACAAACCCTTCTTCCCACGACGCCCCCGAGCCCTTTAACAGCCATTCCCCAGACATGGCCTCCTGCCTCAATCTCTTCGACTCCAGCCCGGGACTGTGGTGCTCCGGGCGCCCCGGCGTGCCTTCGCTGCTGCTCGAGGACTTGCTGACCACGCTGCAGCAGCCCGCCGTTCGGCTCTCAAAGGAGCTGGCCGACGAGTGCTGGAGGGCAGCGGAGGCGGCCTTCCAGTCGGCCACAGCCTCCGGCACGCCCGAGGGGCGCAAGCGCGCCATGGCGGAGGCGCACGGCTCTGCGTGCCGCCTGCGCTCGGCGTGCGAGGGGGCGGGAGGTGTGACCGTGGGGTCGTGGCTGCCGGGGCTGAGGGCGAAGTTGAGGGGCCTGCTGACGGCCCACGTGGACAACGTAATGGCGGGGGTACGTGAGCAGACCGGGGCTTCGCTGCTGAATGCGGTTGTGGGGGGCTGGACGGTGTATCGCGACGCGTGCGTCGGCGTGAACGCCGTCCTGAGGCCGCTGGGGCTCACTCCGCCGCCCTGCAAAGGGGCATTCGGGGTTTGGGCGGACAGGGCGGTCGATCGACGATTTTCCGAGGCCTTGTTCGAGGTGGCGGGAAGCGGGGGCGATGGGGAGCGGGACGGCCTGCTGGCCGTCGCGGCCGCCAACGGCATGCTGAGGGAGCTGGGCTTGTTCCAGCGGGTGTTTGAGGCGCCCGCGGCGGCGGGCCTGCGACGGAGATTCGCGCAGGAAGCCGGGAAGAGCGTTGAGCGGATGGGCTTGGCGGCGTACGCGTTGCGCGTGGCGCAGATGGTGCGCGCGGACAAGGAGCGGTGGTCGCGGGTGTGCGGCAGGTGCCAGGCCGGGTCCGTGCACACGGTGGAGGGCCTGGCCAGGTCGGAGATGCTAGACAACTGGAGGGCGGTTCTGCAGCCTCGGCTGGAGGCTGCCCTGGAGCGGCTCCTGGACGATCCCTGGGGGCTTTCCAATTCGTTCTTGGCCGTCTACGGCGTGTTCCGACACGTCGACTGGGCGGTGAAGGCGATGCTGCGCACGTTCAGGGCGCATTTGCTTGGGGCCATCGCCTCGGTGTCGAGCGCCGGAAGCCCGCGGGACACCGCGACAGGACTGCGAGGCCTGTGGCGAAGATACGGACGAATAGTCAGCAGCGATTTCTGCGAGAACGAGCGGCTTTGGAAGATGCTGCTGGAGGAGATTAGTGCAGTGGCCTTGGCAGGTGGGGCTGGCGGCTGCGCGGCGGACGGCGGCGAAGCCCTCGTGGTGGACATCCTTCGGACGCAGCCTTACCTCAGGGACGACCCGTGGGGGAAGGGGCTGCCGGACGAACTGATACGGCGGATCGCGAGGGAGGCCTGCGGGCCCAGCGGGCCCTCCTGCTCGCCGTGGCGCCAACCGTCGGACGCCCAGGCGCAGGGGAGGCGGGCGACAGCGCCAATGGTGAATTCGGATTGGTGCCGCGCGATGCTCTGCGAATAAACTGCCGCGGCACATTTGCGGGTGCCTGTTTGGATGAGGCGGAATGTGAGGGGCGCAGGCTGCAGAAGGGTGGCGGCCGGTCGTGGGTCTCGAGGGGGGCGTCTCTGGAGGAGGGAGGGCGTGGGCTGCAACGCGGTGCGCCTCGTTCATGGTTTGTGCTCCGGTAAATTGAACACCTTGTGCCGGTTTATTGCTGGAGGCGTTGTTGTCTGGAAACTGTTGCCATCGTCCTCAAAGCGATGGATGATTGTGAACAATGGTGTCCGAGCCTAACGCGGATGGGGCCGGTGGCAGGGGGAATTGAACACTTGTACCATTTTATCTGCTGAGGGTATTTGTCGTCTGGACCCTGTTGCATCTCCTTGAAAGCAACGGATGATAACGAACAATGATGCCCGAAGTTCATGCAGGCGGGAGTTAGACAAGCCGGCTTGTGAAGATTCTGATCATAATCAGCGCAGTGAGGGCCTGCACCACGCTGTTCATTTGTGGTGAATTGAACAAACGCGTTTGCAAGTCCACTGCGGCTGATGTGCTCCACGGATGCAAACACCTGGCGAATCTTGCAGAATGGCTGTGTTCCACATCCATGGCGGATTCATGTGCAACGACGGTGAGAATTGTCATGCTGGCTGCCGCAGGCCACAAAGCAACCCTGGCCGCGTTTCGAGACAAATTCTTGCACTCGTCCATGGCAGTCGGATCAGATGTGCGCGGCAACTTGGAAATGAGGTGAGGAATATGGAGCGAAGACGCATCGCCAAGCTGTGTTTCAAATTTCGCAGCAAAACGAAGACAAAAAGCTTTGGTGAAGAGGAAGCGATGAAAGGCCATGGAGTACCTCTTTAGAAACCAATGGTTGGCAGCCGTTGAACCAGGCAACCTGTGTTGCTGTAGTTCGCAATGGGCCGCCTGGCTGGAATTGCTGCCGCAATTGTCATCGATGGAGGGCTGCATGGGGAAGAACGAGCGGAGACACCTGTGGAATGTGTCACTGCAGCAGGACATCAGACAGCTTCATGCACGGGCGGTCGACACAGCCACGTCGACACCGAAGGGAGCAAACTGGGGGCGCTTGCAGCCCCAACACAATTTACACACATATCGATGCATGCAGTGTACTTTGTGTTTAATGATTTTCTTGCCCAAGATTGTGCTGAATATACCAGCCCACGTGTTTGTCTGCCCCCCTGCAGCATACCGTTCAGAAATCGATCACGCAGTCAACTACCCATGCCCTACTCAATGGTACATCAAGCCCCAGTCAGCCCACCACCCCTCACCCCACCATCTGCCCTTGTAGCGATCGCCAGCTCAACCCTCTGCAAGCAGTTCCCCTGACGTATTTTATTTCACAGCCTAGACGCCTTCCCAGCACTGACTATGGGACCTTCCACCTGCGGGCGTCCCTCACCCCAACACACTGCACAACCCGCTCTCCAGCCAAAAGTTCTTCAATGTTACCAATGGCACTGATTGGTCATGTGCAGCAATGCTGGATACGCAAATCCCAGTATCTGCTCTACCACGCTCTGTTGCAGCACAGGAGCACGTGCGTTAGGTCACACCACAACTGGCCCACCTCCTTTGTGCCTCCAGTTCGCGAAGCAAATGACGAGGCCACACAAGGCTGTCGGCCATGCCAACAATGGCTCGCGAAAGTGGGCATCCAATGGTATGGTGCCCAAAAGGATAGTCAAGAAGCGGACAAAGGCCCGGCCTGAGCTGCTACTTGCTGGTGAACATCCCATCCCACACCTGTACCTGCAGCCAACGAGCGGCACATAGGGCTGTTTGGTTGGGATCGGGAACAAAACCGCCCCAGGTAGGACAAGTGTGCAACTGGTGCAGTTAACTCAAGGTGCAACAGCAACCCACCCTACTTACACAACCCACTTCCACTTACAAAGCGCCCCACTTGCACGACCCATGGAAATTTATGTATACTAATATATCCAGTTTCAAATCCTGACATGGGCTGCCATGGCCACCTTGATGCAACGAGTAAGAACGTCCAAAAGCGAGCAGTTCTCAAACATCGCTCGATGGGTGCAAGTGCAGCTAGCTGTCACACTGTGATAAGTGCCATCAAAGCAAATGCGCGCTCGCACCTGCAGCTCGTCCATCTGATGCTCCAGGACCCTGGTGACGAAGTATGCAGAAAGAACAACCAATCCAGAGACAGACAGAACAGCATACACCTTGACCTTCACACCTCCTGCTATCAGGCTCACACCCTTAAGCCACCATGTGCCCCAGTTGAGAGCCCCGAAAGGCATGCCAACGGGCCGGGGCAGGGGCGCTTCTGGAACCTCCCACAGGCCGTCCTTCTTGAAGGCGTCAGGTGTGACAGTGAACTGTGGCCGTAGGCCCCGTTGCCTCAAGACCTGCTTGGGCTTGGCCTTTGCGTACAGGGCCAGCGCCTGGTGGGACAAACCGCCAGTGTGTCAGCACAGTGAGGGCAAGGAGTGGGGGCCAGTGCCATAGAGGTCACAGGAGACAACAGCAGGGAGCAGGTGGACAGCCCACGACGGGACAGCAACAATGCCATGAAATTGCCAAGAATTGGCAATACACCACACAGACAAGGAAACAGCACAATTCAGTGGGTGCTGTGCTGGCACCAGTGCCCGCCCTCAACAGAAGAGGCAACAGCTCATGAAGCTTTCCAAGATTGGTCACCAATGGGTGGTGCGCAACAAATCAGTCGAGCCCATGGATATCCACCTGCGAATATGACAGCATACACAGAGCTTTGCTTCATAGCACGTACTGCTCTTTGTGCAGTGGTTCTGTCAGAGGCAAACCTGGTCCTCAGCTTCTTGCTCCATGTTGTCAGCCAACTTCCAGGTAGGAAGTTGGGAGGCATCAACAATGCTTTAGCACAATGCTTCACAAGCCGCAGGAGGGCACAGGAACCACAAACGACCCAAAGACAAGTACCCAACTGGTCCTATATACTCTTGCTCAAAACTATAAGAAATACACCAGCAGCAATGTACACTGCACCCTAGCCTCCAATAAACTCATGACTCTGAGCAGAAGACATTGCAGCAGTCAGATCGAGTCAAAACGCAACTGTGCATACCCAAGCCCCCAGCCAAATACTCACTTGTCTTATCAATTCCTCAGTGGTGATGTACTTTCCAATCCTCAGGTTCACCAGTGCCTGGTGCATGAGCGACACGTCATCGACATAGATGAGCTCCTCCCTGGCCGCCGCCATGCATGCTGCCCCCACATACAGTGGCATCATCGGGTGGGCAGACAAGAACAGGTCGAACAGCCTTGCGACCTCAGTCAAGCTCTTCACATCGTGCGAGAACCAGGTTATGTACCAACTGAGGGCAAAGTAGCAGGGCACCTGCATGCCCTCCAGCACACGGGCCAGTGGCCGGTCAGTCATGTCCAGGATGGGCACTTGGAGCTGCAGGAGCTCAGCGACAGGCTCCAGGGTGGGCCGCGTGCAGTCTCGCAGGTGGCAGGTCGCCAGCCTGCACAGGATGGGGAAGGCCAGGCGCTCGCCCACAGTGAGGAGCAGCACGGAGGCGATGTCATGCAGACCCTGGTAGTACCGCACATCACCTAGGCACCAGCACACAAGGAGCGTCACTCTTGTCTGCCAACCAACCATGGCTCCTGCAGGGTGCTCAAATATTATAAAGCAAGCACACCCATAGAGTGGAGTCCCTTCCAACAGCGGGGCCAACTCGGGCATACCCTCAGTGCATGTATGCCCAGCAGTCCCCTTACCACCTGCTGGTTTACTCCTTAATGAAGTGTCACATGGGCTCCAGTTGCACCATGATTATACTGGCACCAATGGGTCCGCTGGATATAAAAACTGGTTCAAAGTGCACCCAACAGGGTCCTGTCCATGTGTCAAAATGGTGGAACAAAAAGCGCTGCTGTGCCTCAAGTACACCTGGTACTGACACACACCACACTATCCACATGCAGCTGCCAATAAAAGAAAACTGTGGTGTCTGCAATTCAGAACAAACTCACAAGCCAAAGAGATGAAAACAATGGAACAGGGCCCTTGTCAAATGCACAGACCCTGACCCTGACCTTGGCTATCCTTGCACCAACTTCTGGACCAGGGTCAGCCTTTCTGAAACCCACGAGAACATGGCAAGATACACTGTTTCCGGCACATTTTTCAAGCTGCAAGAAAACAGGTGCTGGATGATTGACTGGAAAGAAAGGCTGCCTTGCATCACACAGGGTGCCCTCTCCAGCACAGTCCAAATCCCCCGCTGCTCCTTCCACCTGACAAAGGCCCAACCAAAATAACCGCCGTGGGGCGCGACCACGAACAATGCCTGCAGCACCACAGCCAACTTTCCCACTGGACAGCCCCCCCCCCATTTCTTTCACACAACACCACACAGCCCACCCCAAGACCAGCCCCCCGCTCCCCTCACCCGCGCTGTGGTTCACCACGGCGTTGAGCAGCCTCATCAGGGCCTCCCTCTTCTCCTGCCTCGCCTCATCACTCCACCCGACCGTGAAGCTCCACAGCGAGCGCGCGATGTCCGCCCGCAGCGTGGGGCTGTCCGCGTGCTCCATGCACGCCAGCTCGTCGTACCGGTCGTGCGGCCAGGCGTCCGCGTCCACGCCCAGCAGCAGCGGCCACACGCGCGCCCGCAGCCTGTTGTTGGACAGGCCGCGCGCGGCAGATATCTGTCGCAGGCGCGTCACGTCCAGCTGCAGGAGCAGGGGACAATGGACATGAGAAAGGTTTGTCACGATAGGGTGAAAGAAACAGTTCATACAATGGGCACCCCGCCTGAACAATTTGCATGCGAGTCTCTTTTCCGTGCCGTGAAAAGATGATGTGGAGTCTCCGATGCGAATTGAGCACACAACGCAAGTCTGCAGGGGCGGGGAACGGAGAGCAAGGACGTTTCACGGGCTGAGTCTAATGCAAGGGGGGCTGCGACTTGGCGGCAAAAGGACCGATGTGCGCGAGGGCGGGTGGGCCGTCGACTGGATCTGTCAGGACGGGAAAGGGTGCGGCACACAGGCGCGGGCAGAGCACCGGGCAGCAGGGGCCGGCTGTACCAAAGCTGCCGAGGATTTCAGCCGTCGACTTTTGCGATTCCGTGGTCGATCGCACTGACAGTTACGCGCGCGATTCGCCATCCATCCGAAAGCCATCGGCCTCGCCCCGGGGCAGAGCGCGGCTTGCTTCTGGCCGCGGCAGCCTACCCGCCACGCGCCCTGCCGAGCCATCAGGACCACCGCGGGCGACCGCCTTCGCCGACGACGACGCCAACGCCGCGGGGCGCCCAAAGCCACCGGCGCCGCCGCGGGGCGCCTGCCAACCTCGCGAGGCGCGATTCCGCCCATCGGCGCCCTCCCCCTCACCTCCGCCTCCCCGAGCAGCTTCTCCACCCTGGCGACCGTCTCCTCGTCCCTCTGCCGCTGCTCCATCGATGGCGACCCCTGCTGCCGATGCGTCTGGCCCCGCCGCCTGCCAGCCCCCATGCCCGGCCGGCCGGGGTCTTCCGCGGGAGCTCCCCCCGCCGGTCCGCCCCCCTGACGGCGCCACCGGCGGTGAACCCGATGTCGAGCAGGGGGATTGACAGGCGTCGGGGGCGATGGGGCGCAAGGGGCAAAGCTGCCCAGGGACTAGCTGCTTTGGCTTAACCGTCCCCGCTGCAGTTCGAGTAGCTGTTGGCGCGAGCGGCGCGGCCCCCGCGACATAGGCGCGGTGCTGGGTTGCCTTCACGCCCAGGTGCGCACCAGCTGGACGCGGATGGCACGCAAGCGGGCTGCGTGCCTCGAAAATGGGCAAGGCTGGCGAAAAAAAAACTGCGTGGTGCGGTGGGGTGGACCAAAAAAGAGAAGAGAACTTTTTGGGGCCTGATCCCACGCCCCGCTGTCTGTCCCCGCAGACTATGCCTCCTGCAGCCACGCAGCAACACGCAGCACGCGGCACGCCGGCGCGCGGGCGACGTGCGACAGGCGCCGCGGCTACGCCGTAGGCGTGCACACACCGTAGTTGCCGCGATCACAAGGAGCACGCATCCGCACACTTGACCAAGCGAAGAGATGGATATTAACACCGGCCGTGGCTACCAACATTGTTTGGTCCCTGGATCCAAGACATGCAAGGAGAAAGTTTAGGAATCAGGCTCAGGAAATGGGAAGCATGGGCCAGACACAGCGAAATGCATCGCGAGGGAAAGAAATTCTGGCCTTCACAGCGGTTGCTAGCCAGGCAGCACAACCACCGTGCCCAAGTGCAGAGGTATGGACCTTCACTATTTTGGCTCCCATCCCCTGGTGACCAGGTGAAATCAGGCTCTGTGGATGCTCGCCGTGTCCCAGAAGAAGATCCTACCAAGTATACATTACACGTCTAATGTACAAATTTTGACTGGGCCGATCCCTCCCCACGCACGTGACAGCATCCCTCCTACTGGCTCGTAGCTGATTGCTACAGCTCTGTGTCTAGAAAAAGCGACTTTCTGGTCCAGTGGCAAGGATGCCCAGTCAATGCTCCTGCATGACGAACCTGCCCCTTTCGCTCCACTGCCAACGCTGGCTCTGTGCATTCTACAGTTACTCATTGCAACGTTTATTCCGCTTGTCCTGGGCAATGCAGGCGACGCTCTCATTTAGGCCACACTTGTTGTGCCATGAGGGCCGCCTCGTATAGGGAGAACATCTCACCGAGTATTTCTGTCACAACACAAAATAGCGGGTTCACTCGGTGGTCCCTTCAGCGCTCGACAACAACAAGAAGCTGCCATCTGATAGCAGCAAACGACGCTGTAGTCATTTGCAAAAGCCTTGGCAGCCTGAATGCCAGTGACAGTGCAGCCAGTAGACGCCTCAATGTGTCAATTTGACTAAACACAATATGAAACTGAGTGCAGGCTTTGCTGTCCACAGTGTTGGCACCTTCAGCAAGCTCCTTCTGTGCATATTTCCAGATCTCCCCATGATCCACTTCAACGTTGCGGACATATGCTGCAAGCGACACTGCAGCAGCAGCGATACTCTCCGCAGTGTACTGCAAACACATTGTTGTCCGCAAACTGGAGTAGGCAGTACATGCAACACACAGAAGCACGAAGTGCGTCAGAAGGTGCATATTTCCGTGATCCACCCAGGCATCAAGTGACAACGATGACTCACCATCAAAGTAAGGAGTAGCTGTACGACACAAAGATGCATATCAAGTACACAGCAGCCTACGAATTAAACAGCTCAGCATTGCATTGCCTCCAATAGCATGCCTCATTGCTTTGAGTGACAACCCTAGTTGCCATATGTTAGTCCGACACCTTAGTTCAGCTCCATGGACTGAGTTCATGTGCTGTCTTGGTTGGAACGGGCAGCTGCATGTCTTACCAGTCGTTCAGGAAGTTGACAGTCAGCTGCGACATGCTCTGATCCCCTTCCTCCTTCCGCTCCAACAGATTCAACCGCTTCAGGATGTCCAGAGACCGCTGGTAGGACAGTTGCACATCAAAGTCGAACCCTAATGTGCACAGCAGGACGCGCTCTGCTCGAACCACATGCTCGTGGATCTGGTCCATGAAAGCCTGGCACAGCCACAGCAGAAGCGAGCAAGTTCGGTTTCAAAGGAAGGATGTGTGCGCCCTCCTGACAGGACATCTGGGTAACATAGAGAACCAGGGATGACACGGATACTCTAGATAATCACTTAATCAGCCGGGATGAGTCCCCATGGCATAACTGATCAACCTCATTGTTACTCAACATGGGGGTAACTTTGGACAACACAGGGGGAATGGTAAATGCAAGGGGGTCAAAAGTACAATAGGAATGGTCAATCCTACACAGTGCAAGTTTGGGACATGATAAGCCGTTACAATGGTTGTTCACATGTGGTTGTGTCAAACAGCACAACCCATACAACAAACAATCACATAATGCAGTGACAACACCACCCACAACACCACACATATGAACTGCTACATGCCCATTTTGAACCTAGCATCGTCTTACTTGGATGGCCAACTGCCCATTGGCAATTGGCTCCCCTATACTTCGAAAATGCTTGTCACACCCAGACACAATAAACAACTAAATTCTGAGTGCATGCTATCCACTCAGTGCAAACCCACTGATCCATCCATAGTCCGGCATTCCTTGTCCTGGACCATATTCCCTAAGTAATCTGAATCAATAATCATGCTGGACCGGCACTCACAGCACTGCCTGGGACTGTCCTAAGTAGCAGGAGGATGGTGCAAACTGCACAGAGCAGTGTGTGGCAGCCCACCACGTGGTGGGAGAGTGAGCGGCGCCCCACACGTTGTGCAGACAGGGGCTGCTGCACCTCAAGCATTGTGTAACGTGGGGAAAACGCTGGATAGCCTTGGGTTACTCTAGATAGCGCCCCCCACATTACAGATATTGAAGGAAATGCTCAACACGAGGGGCACTATCCCCTGTTCTACAAGTGGGCCCCCATTAAGATCCTACCCATCTAGCACTTGTGGCTTGCCTGTTAAGATCATCACTGCCCACATTTGTCCAGAGAGTGACAAACACTGGCTTTTCCCCATCAGGTTGTGCCAATGTTCGTCTCCAAGGGGGAATGTGCAGAGACAGCATGCAAGGGATGGATCTGAGGTGCCAATAGGTGCACTTCATCGCCTTCAACGTGCAGGAGCAGTGTTGCACCAGTTGTACCAGCTGGAGACTGTGACACAGTTCTCCCTGGCTTTGGTACTCCAAGAAGTCCGATGGAAAATAGCAACATATTTAATGACTGAAAAGATTCAACAGCAGATTCATGAGCCCACCTGATCCTTCATTTTTTCTAGTCGCTTGGTGTCTGTCTTCGCCCTTAATGTGTAGGCCACTTCAATAATCTTATGGAGTGGTCGAGGGCTCTCCTTGATTTTCCCAGCCAAGAAGAGGCAAGCTATGGCCATCAGCTGTGCAGCGCAACACAACACCAAACTCAAACAGGAAGAGCAATGGTGGGAGTGATATGCAGCAGGCACAGAACTCCTTCTGGTTGCACAAGTGAGCTTGACATCGTCTGTGAAGAGCAAAAGGCCTGCATGGTCTGTGCTGTCAATTGGAATCAAAGCGCAATAACAACAACAGCCGTTGTTCATGATTCCACACGGCAACATCTTGGTGGGACCAACCAGGCACTGACTCTGTCCTAAGTGTTGCTCAAGTTAGGCACAGTTACCGTTGAGCTCCACAATAAGAGCTCCTAATAAAATAATAATATAAAATAATAAGAGCTCCTAATAAAAACCACCAGCAGTTCAAGTGATGACGCAGATGACAAGCTTCAAGTCAGGGTGTGGCAAGGAAGGCTGCAAACTGGATGGCACCCACATGCCCAAACCAGACAAAATCGACTTACAAATCTGTCGTTTCGCCTCAAAGACCGCATGGCAAAGAAGCGGTGGCACAGCACCCAGGCTGTCCCTATCGTCCACTGAGGGCTACAAGGGGAGAAAAACACAACTCGGGTCAGGGCACTGTTGCACACAGATTAGCCCCTTTCCCCCCATACACAGCAGGTACCAATCATGCCAGTCTGTGTTGCGTGCTTTCCCTGTTGTTCTGAGAGACAGCTGCATCACCTCCTGTATTTTGGGAAGAGTCTAACAACCAATTCTCCTGAGGAGATGGCAACCCACAGTCATCAGCTCATCCCCACCACCACCTGTGGGCACAAAATTTGGCACAGATTTGCCAAAACCACAGGGTGAACTACTCTCTGTTCACTGAGCTACTCTCCGTTCTGAACTATTCTATGTTCGCATCCTCTGTCCCCAGTGCCCCACTTCTGTCCGCACGGTCTCTCGCCATCCAAGCTCAACACAGGGCGAAGAGGGGCGCCGCTCGCGAGCCCAACACGCCAGCAAAAGGAACATGGCGATGGCTGAGGGCGGCACCGGCGACGGTGAATCAAACCAGCCCATCGAGGCAGCCACGGCTTGTCCGCATACGCCTCCCGCTGATCGCGCCCACTACATTGATACACCCCTTTCGCGGCGGTGCACAACCGGGACAGGCGACACTCACAAGCCCAGCTGCATGCCGGCATCCTGTATGAGGGCGCACACGCCCCGACGGTATCTCTCTTCCTCCTCCTTCGTGAGGCCATCCTTCAGCGAAGGCAGATTCTCCAGTTCCGCCTTGGACCAGAATTTAACGCCGAAGCCCATCGCAGCGACTGACCGCCCGGGGACGGAGCGAGATGCGCTGTCGGGCGCCGGAGCGCCGCTGCCTCCTCGCTGTTCAGCTTCGTCGCCTCTGCAGTCGGGCCTTGTTCCAGAGTTGCGGCCTTCGAGCCTGGGGGTCCTCGGGTGGCCTTGCGCCGTGTCAAACGCAACTCTCACAACGGGTTCCACTAGCTGCTTGTTGGGCGATAGTTTAGTTCCTTGAAAGGACAAGGGTTATGAACTGTCGCATTGTGTTGCCATTGTCTACAATTAAAAATGCTGTGTCAGCGGAAAAGTTATCTTCCACATGGACCCATTTGAATAGAGTCCTTTCGATAGGTATCTTGCAAGGGCTTATGGTCGTACGTTGTTAGTGGATGACAGGTGCGCATGCACATTTGGTGGAATGGACGTGTCTTCTAGCGAGGTTGGATACGTTACCAATGGCCAAATCACTCAGAGTCGGCGAGAAATGGCAGTATTGTGGGCGGCGTTTGCACAGCAGAGATTGATTCAACAGCTTTCGTAGTGTTTTGTTCATAAGCTCTGATTAATCAGAGCATTTGATGCATCAGATGCTCCAAATAATTCAAGCTCAGGAACAAAACACATATCACAGAAAAGAAAAAAAAGCCACACAAAACTTGCTGCATATCACGGAGATCATGGCAACAACTCTTGTTTGTTCTCCTCCAATTCGCCCATCATATTTTGCATAAATAAATGAAGAATCACCTCATCGCAATGGGATAGTAGTGTCTAAAAGGATGTTCATGAGGTGCTTCATTGTGTATCCACTTGCTCACCTGTGTACAACACGCATGGATGGCCGCACAAGGTGTGTGTACATACGGATGGCACTCTTATGGAAAATTGGCATAATATGCGAATATGTTATATTATATCCAAAAATTGCGTCATGACACTTTCCGGCTTGTGGGGAGGCCAACTAAGGCTTGACTCCCAACAATCGATTGGAATCCCTAGCTGTTATGAAGGACAGTAGCGGGGCCAGAGACAAGGCAGCAAGTTTCCATCAGGAGGCTTCTGACAACACAATAGATATAGGCATGTTTCTTCCCAAACAAATCATGTGTGTTGTTGGTTTTTCACCATCAGCCTCCTTAGAGCAACATGCCGCCATTCGCGTTTCACAAAATCGCATCTGTCAATCACGGAGTGTGCCACTAATTTGCGGTACACTCGGGTCACAAGTGGGTGAATCTTATGGAAACATATGGGGTAGAGTGAAGCAAGACCTTTAGTCATTTACTTGTACTTATAAGTGGAAGCCGATCTATTATATAGCTTACTTACAAGTTGTAGATATTGATAGACCTATTACATGTTAAATTTCCCCAAGTAATAGTGAAGATACGGCCTTGTAGAGTTCTAGTACTTTAGGGATATGCCGGGGAGGTATATACCACTATACTATAATAGTGGGTTACGGTGTATCGATATGGGTTGGTTCTGGGGTATGCTAGGTGCGAGTGACGGTTGCACTATGTACAATATACTCGATGTCTGATTGTTGTAGTTGATTGGCCCCGGATTGGCCAATCACCGTGCACAAGGGGGAGGCTCGGTCTGACCCCTAGATGTTACCCGTTCTAGCTCACCGCCCCACTCCGCACGGGCCGCACGGCCCGGGGAGCAACCGCCCATGTGCACCGCCCTTCCCGAACAACCGGTCCACCCTGGTCGCCTTCCTGGGACCGGTACATCCGAGCCTACGTGAGCGTGCGCCCTGATTACGCCTGCCTCCCGCGAGGCGGAGGGGTCTGCGCCATGCATGAGTGGACCACTGGGCGACGGAGGGATCTAGAGACACCGACAAAACCACTGCGTTTTGGGCCCATGCACCAGTGAACCTGTTTGAAAGTAGCTTTGAAACAGAGTCACTACTTGTGATATGTTGCGCTCCCTTATGAATAAGTATGGAATTGTTGTTGCATTCGATGTTGCGGGTGCACGACCACTGCGCCTGCATCAAGCACCGATTTGTAGCCAACTAGAAGAATTTGAATGGACTTTGGCGGCATTTCATGGCTGTGCCCTCTGCCGCCCTGCTTACTATATGTTCCAAAAGTCGTGTCCAAATACAAATTTGCACAAAAGGAGATCAAAACTTGCGATTCAAAAATTGGGCAAAAGATAATCGATGCACTATAGAAAGAGCTATCCAAAGATCCATCCAACGTGGCAAACAGCACTGCCGTTCTTATGATATGTAATGAGCAGCTGATACGAGATTTTGCATTTTGTCGGGATCTAAAGCGGGGCATGGCGAGTTTATACTGCGCTTCAAAAGAGGTGGATCGACTTTAGCTATCACTGGGAGTGGTTTAGGCTTTGTTGATTTGGACTGCACGAATGATGCGGCTTGATTCCAAGCAGCATCAGTGGGCAAAAGATCAAAGTTTCATAAAACATTTCGGTTGCCAGCAAGAACCGCATGACACTTGTGGCTAAAGGCCAAGAGACACCTCGACCTGTGCAAGAACATCTCCCTGGCAGATTTGATAAGGTCTGGAAGGCCATGCATACAAAAAAAACGGCCTGAATTGAGGCAAAAGCAGCCAAATGTTGAATACCCGAATATTGGGATTATGATTCGCCCATGCTGGAAGAAACAATGCACCAAAAGCATGGTAGGAATGATATAGAAATTCCTAAAAGTTTTAGCAGTGCCTATTTGTTGCATAAGCAAGGTTCATCATGCAGTTTTGAGAAACGGGTCGGGACATAGGGGAACAAGGCCAAACCAATAATGCGTGGGTTTGAAGAACCGTAAGGAATTGGACAATCGCATTAGGTGAAGATCGTGATTTATGGTGGTGACTAATACAATCAAGACCCTTATCAACCCAAAATCGACCAAGCAATCCGAATATGGTCATGGTTTGAGAGATTGAGTTGATCTTGCAAAGTTGTAGTAGCAATCGGAGAATGTACACGATTTTTGGAACGGAGGTAGAAAATATTGAGATTGTTATGCTAAATTTGAAACAGAATTGCCAGATAGGCATTATGTCCAGAGCGCTAACGTGGGCGCTTGAGTAGGCTCACTTAGGAAGGATTCTTTGCTGCTGTCTTGTTCATGAAATTGAGTGGGTTGTTTCCTTTTTCAATACTGTGTTTCATTCAGTTGATGAAACTTCCCCAGTGATTGCTTGACATGCCATGCCCACAGCGATCCACGCAGCACATACACTTGCTGTTTGCATACATACATGCCGCTTACATGCGGCTTGCATGGATCATACATGCACATTTATCCATGAATGTCTGTTGGTAACCAAAAAAATGGAACAAGTTTTAACAGCTCATGGTTTCGATTGAAGTCTGCTAGTCCTGTAACTGATGGTTCGCAGCTGATAAATCGTTATCTTGCGAAATTTAATAGAGATCAGCAGTCGACTATCAGAATATTGATCTGGAAGTAATGTCCTTTAGCACTAGGAAAAAAGGCCAGATGACACAGTCCTGACACGGTCTGCTCAGAGTCCAACTGTGTACTTTCGGCAAATGTGGTCCCAAAACCACACAGTTAGTACACACATTGACACAGTTTTAACCGTGTACCCTCAAACAACTGTGTAGACTGCACGGTTTCCTAGGGTACACGCTTAAAACTGTGTCAATGTGTGTACTAACTGTGTGGTTTTGGGACCACATTTGCCGAAAGTACACAGTTGGACTTTGAGCAGACCGTGTCAGGACTGTGTCATCTGGCCTGTTTTTTACTACTGCAAAACCATCAAAGTTCTGACGAAACTGCCGTTCTGTAACGCAACTTTCGTCGCAGAATTGGTACAATATTTTATTTTCGTATTTAATTCAGAAGGATCAAACCGGATGTCCATATGCCGCGACCTGACTGGCGGATTATGGAAAACAGTGACTAAGATGGACTATTTCTTTGCCATCAAAGAACTGGTTTTGTTTGGGCTGGTGCATCCGTGTTGTGGCCAGATCAAGTGATTTGCTTTTGGTGGGATGGAGCGTCCATGTTGTGGCCATAAGACTTAATACTCTGAATTATGTATTTCATAGGCATCCAATATATTGGCTGCCTGCATACTGGCCAATGTACCAATGGGGATTCTTCCATTTGAGGACGGCCGGTTTTCGTGCTGACGTTCGAATTATGATCGACCTGTGTGTTATGTTGGGATGTCGCGCTTATACGGAAAACAAACTTGGCTCATGGATGGTCGTTCAACTATGAATGGTGGATTTCATTCATTGGCAAGATCGACGATGTTGAACGTGGAGCGAAGCTGGTGCTGATTTTGCCATTTGTGAGTTGGATCAAATGTGGGCTGTAGGATAGCCGACTTTGGTGCGCACTAGAGTCCCAATGCATGCACTGAGATGATGTAACGAATATTTAGGATGGCTTTGCTTACTACAGGATCCCAGTTCAAATTTTGGCAGTGAGCAGGACAATGTTGTGCGTTTGAGGGTCCGATATGCCCGTTTGATGGCGTTCTCGATTGCCGAGCCCCACCCCACAGCAAGTGAGGCAACGGGAACCGAGCCTTGCAAGAAACGGATGTATTTTGGTTCATGGGTCGATGACGGCGACTGAAATTTTCATTCGTTTAGGGCTATGTTAGAGGCAGCCTGTCGGTATTCTCAAGTAATAAGGTTGTCAACGGGGTGCCGAATGGGCACTTGCATTGGACGGTAGGCATGATGGAAACTTCGTGATGCAGCATGTTGGTTTCATCTGAACTCAGTTGCATAGGATCTGCGACTTCGGGCTTTTTCTTGTGGTGGAATCTGTAATGGCAGTTGGATGGACATGGGGCTGAGAAAGGTGCCACAGTTGAAATGTGCTCCACCCACTCCGGGTGTTGTCCTTTTACTGCGAGCAGACTAATCCTGGCGCGCAGCAGTACCCCACAAACGCTCGGACCATACATCGTACGAGTTGCGCATCCTCAGGCTGGATCCAGCTTGGCAAGCTGGGCACCACGCTTGGCATCTGTGTTGGGGCGCTGAGCCGGCTGTGCTGCTGCAGCATTGCGCATTGTGACCCCTTTTGTGCTTTCTGTTTGTGCCAGCTACTGCTCTTTGCCGAAAGGGTGATCGGCACCTCGGCTCGCCCGTTGAGTGGATTGTGGAAGTGTATTACCCAGGTGACTACGCTGCGTGGTTGTGTTGTGCTCAAGGGAGGATTTTCTCGGGGTTTCTCCTGCTGGTCAAGCGTCCCTGAGGACGCAGTTAGGAAGATTGCTGATTGGTAATTTACTCTCGTGAGCAGGTCAGCCACGGTGACTCACCAGCTGCATTCGCATAATGGAGTCACATAAAAGGCCAGCTTATGCTTGAACAACAGATACTTTGTGTCTGGCGAATGCTGCAAGGACCAGGCCCACTGCGCACACCCCTCTCAGTCGGTGACCCTATTCTGCGGCAACGACACTTGACTCCTGGCCATCGCATTTCCGCCTGCCATCACTTACATTTTGAGTCATTTCTACAGGGTGACTCGATGTCATGACCACCATATTCACCGCGCACAGTGCCCCCACATCACCCTATTGTGTACTGGCGCCACCAAGGGCTTCTCCTCTGCTGCCTGCTTCTCCCGACCTCACGCAAAGAAAACTTTTCAACATTAATATTGAGCACGGGCCACGGCAAATTCTGTGCACCAACTTTTACAATTGCGACGTGCCCTGTGTTTATCATGGCTGCGCCTGCTCCGGCGAAGCAACCACCACGGGCGGAAGCTGTCGGCAGCCGGCCTCTCCCAGTGTACCATCTCACCTCCATACTAAACAGTTTGCACGCACGTGCAGGACCTGACAGCCGAGAAGCGGCTGCCATCCGGCCACACATACAACACAACCCGGCAAAGGTATGGTCATAAGCCAGCGTGACACTCCAGTCATCTGGGTATTACCCTCTCCAAGCCTACAACACCAAAAAAGGAGAGGAAGCACACGCACAATTGCCATGTTCACAAATGCGATGCTAACTTAACACAATCGTCGCGTAAGCGACGGCTGAAGAAGGGGAACGCCACCCACACTACACCCACCGAGCGCTGCAGAAACTGCTGGATGCCCCAATGTCCAAAACATGCATTGTATGCACTCACCCTACCAGTTCTTTCCATCCAGCGCAAGCTGTCGACAAACTACTCTGAGCTTCCGACTGTTTCCATTCAGAGCAGACCGTCGACGACACTATTCTAAATATGCTTGGACGGGCGTCCTTCACACTTTTGGGGCATTTTCGCCGACCCTGTGTTCCCAGGCCTGGTGGCAGCTGTCGATGTCCCTGATGGCTTTCCAGACGGCGCTGTTGCACTTGAAGCCCGAGCCGAATGCAACCTGCCAGACGTGCTCGCCCTCCTTGACCGTCTGCACAGACTCTATGTACGCCAAGGAGTACCACACGGTGGACGAAGAGGTGTTGCCGTACCTGACACAGCAGGCAGCACCTCAAGGTTCTGCGCACGGTTTGGAGCCACGCACAGCAAGACTTCAACCAGCCCAAACGCTTGCAAGCCACAAAGTTTCCTTCCTTCGTCAACCGATCGAACGAATGAACAGAAAGTTCGTGCACACAGAAACTCCAATGCTATGCTATGATTCAGCCACACGTATGATACATCAGGCGAGGCGCGTATTGGGCACATACCAGAGGCGACCTGCACAGTTGGCTTGCATTCCTCTCCAAGACATTCACCGCTTAATCAATTCATGCAATGCAATCCAAGAAGCCTTGCCAGCATTTAGTTCCGCCTCCACGGACACTCCTCCTCACGCCCCCAGCCCTCACCATTTCAGTGTCTGGAAGCTAGCTTCCGTCTTCTCGTCGGGCAGGCCAAGCTGCTTTCCCAGCCCCTCGATCACGGCCCTGCCGCCGGCGTGCAGGCAGAAGTGGTCGAAGGCCTTCTTGAAGTCCGGAACGTAAGGCTTCACCCTCATGCGGAAGACCTTGGCCGCCAGGAGGTTGAGGGCCACGAACAACATCTCCGACCAGGGAAGCACCATGGGGCCCATACGAGTCATGTTCCTGGTGACGGCCTTGCTGGCCACCTTGAAGAGGTCCTTGTTCAGCTCCACGCCGATGTTGCCGTCGTCGTCGGGCCTCTGGAAGACGCACCTGTGGGCGGGGATGGGAGAGGCGTTCAGCAACAATCGGCCGTCGATCATTTGCTCACAAATTTGAGTTGTCCAAGTGCATTTACCACAATTGCTATTTGGTGCCTGTAAGGCGTATAGTGATAGAGCTTTTTTCAAGGTCACCTTTACAACCAGGGTAAAGCAGTGGAAATCGATTCACAGGATCAGGCAACATGCCCCGTGACAAATCTCATGCTGTACGTCAGATGTTGTATACGCAGTGGGCCCATATCATGGGGGTTACGAATCAAAGTATGGGGGGGTGCAAATAAATTTTGATGGCTTCCCATCGGATCCTCTGTCTGGGTGAACTGTTGTAATTTGCTTAGTCTGCTACCAAAGGACGTGACATACATAGTCCGCTTATCCAAATACAGTGCGGTACGAAAATAATAGTACCAACTGGCAATCCCTGTATTTCACACTGACGCGTTGAAACCTCGAGTCAAACTGGCAGCTGATTCCCACCGCAATACCCTGGTCCGTTTTACACCTGGCAGTTCATCTACATTTGCGCCAGTTGCAACTGTCAATATTTACCAATGAAGCACAACCACAAACGGATACCGACATTTATGCGATGCCAACTGCGATGTCATTTGGAACAAATTGATGCTATCACCACTCACTTTTGTGTCATCGCAATCGCCGTGATGACGTCACTTTGTGTCAAAATGGCACTGCATTTACTATCGCAAACGTGGTGTTTCCTGACAGTGAACTGGACCACATGATTCCACTGCCACACCGCTGCCACACCTGTATGCCTTGTCATCGGCTCCCATGTGCACACGAATTACATGCTGCAACTCGTACTTGGCAACATTCCGAACAGCGGGCTTGTTGCTCAGCAGTATGGCAGCGCCGCCCATCCGGAACAACACGTTGGGAATGAGCATGGACCTCTCGTTTCCAAAGTACCAATTTTGGGTGATGTTCTCTGTGGACACGACGATGGCGTTCTTATTGGGGTACACCTGCGGCGCATTCCAGAAAGACCACTTCAGAAACAAACAAGTTCATCTTTGCATTGTTTATGGCTGCACGCAGACTTGCTGCGTCCGATATGATGAGTGCAGCCATGGAATCTGCACAACTTAAACGTTCTTTTCAACAATGGTAACCCATTACCGGAAAGCAGATGCATGGAAATAGAAAAGCCAGAAATGAATATTGACACATGTACAGAAGTGCATGATCACGGTCATGCGCAGTTGCAATTACTTATGCATAACCTCTGCGTAGAGCAGACACTCTGTGCGGCAAAATTTTATTGTGATTTCACGTTCCACCGTATGTTGCTCTTGAGCCCTCTTCATAGGTATGAATAGCTGACGCATGTAGAGGGCTCCAGAGCAACATACGCTGGAACGTGAAATCGCGTCAGAAATTTGGCACAGACAGCGTATCTTCCACACACACTCATTTTCACAAATTAGAGACATCAACGCTATTGCTTGGCCGCTGGAATAGACAGGATCGCAGCGTATTTGGGCACAGTCATTTTTGATACGGATGCCGTGTCTTCTCCTTTGACGCATCATTTAAAGAAAGCTAAACAAAGCAGGCGAATGCCCGACCTACTTTAATTTCTTCAACGAACAAACCTGAAGCAACTCTCGTGCCAGGCTGATGGCTATGAGCCCTGCCGAGCAGCCCATCCCTGACAGGTTGTACGAAACTATGTCCGACCTCATCTTGAAGTGGTTGATGATCATTGCCGACAGGGAGGGCGTGGGGTTGAACAGGGAGCAGTTCACGATGAGGATGTCGATGTCACGGGGTTTCAGGCCCTGATGCTCCAGCAGGTTGCCCACGCAGTTGAACATCACCATTTCAGCCTCCTCCCTGGCGCTCGTCATGTTTATGTCGAAGGGATACTGATGCAAGCCCCGAGGGAGGTAGGTGCGCTCGCCCAGGCCAGACCTCTCCGCAATGCGCTGCTGGAACGCGAGGGATTCCTCGTTAAATTTCTGCATCGCAACAAAACAAGATGTGTGCCCAACTGGATGCAGACACGAATGAACATTCCAGAACAAACGCCTGGAACAGAACTATGCCTGAAGCGCATTTATGCTAAGGCAGGCCTTGTGATATTCTGTGGATTTCCCTTTTCCTGTGAGATTTTCGTGAATGCCACAACACCATTGGCAAGCACATTCAGTCCCAGTGATGAAACTGTCAGATTTTTCCATAAGCATATTGCCACCTGACAAATGCATGAGGGGAGCACTGGATGCAGCACCACTAGGAAAAAACAGGCCAGATGACGCAGTGATGAAACTGTCAGATTTTTCCATAAGCATATTGCCACCTGACAAATGCATGAGGGGAGCACTGGATGCAGCACCACTAGGAAAAAACAGGCCAGATGACGCAGTCCTGACACGGTCTGCTCAAAATCCAGCTGTGTGCTTTCGGCAAATGTGGTCCCAAAAGTACACAGTTAGTACACACATTGACACAGTTTCAACCGCGTACCCTCAAACAGCTGTTTAGACTACACAGTTTCCCAGGATGCACGGTTAAGATTGTGTCAATGTGTGTACTAACTGTGTACTTTTGGGACCACATTTGCCGAAAGCACACAGTTGGATTTTGAGCAGACCGTGTCAGGACTGTGTCATCTGGCCTGTTTTTTACTAGTGCACGACGAGGGCAAACTACCCACAAACTGGCACAGCAAGAGCCAAAACACAACGCATCGCCCACAACCCTGGGCAATCGTGCACAGGCAGCACGCAGAGCTGCGCATGGTCCACTTTCCTATCCCAAATCGTGTTCCAGAATCACCGTGCAGAAGAATGAGCAAGACGAAAAAGCAAGACGAAAAGCATACTGCATTGGGCTGCAAGCATCACGATCAGGTTGCCCTTTTCCAGACCAGTGGACTGCATCAAAGAGACCTGTTGGATTAATACCACCACATGGCTGCTCACCCCACACGAATTGGCTCCGTCTCTGCACTGCATCTTGTTCACCCGCAGCGCGTCAGGCGGCCGGTACACCCTGAAGTCTACGAGGTACACGGGCACGTCCCTGGCATTGTGGGAACGGCGCCAGAGCCCCAGCAGGAGGATCGCTGCAAGGGCGACCAGCAGGGGTCCGCTCAGATGGTAGGTTGTCTGCTGCAGAGACTCGTACCAGAACAGGAAGCTGTCTTGAAACTGTCCGCTGGACAGTCGAGGAACCTGGCAAAGCATGCAAATGGTGATTGGAAACGACAGTGGAACTGAAGAGTCACTTACGGGGTTTTGTCTCAAACTACATGCAGGTCTTGACACCAGCGAAAAGAATCTTCCAAGGAGCTATGTGTGCATCGCAGTAATGGAGTGTCCAGTGAGCAGATCCAGTATGGAGCTGCGTGAATATTCCTCATGAGCATGCATCTGAAAGAACATCTGGGACTGGGACTCTGAGCATGGCAAGGCCACACAAAACTGGACGACATGATATTGGCCCAAACAAATTGTTGTTCAGGGCTAGTCACTGTTGGTGACAATACTTCTTGTGCACGATAGCATTCCTGTTGCAATGCACAAAGTTTCTCTGACAAGGAATGCCATCCCCATTTGATGGAATTGGGGCTACATTTATTAGCCCATTGCCATCCAAAGGCAGTTGCCTCTGTGATTACTACAAACACACACTGGTAGAAAACGCCATGTTTGCGATGCCAGCTGCGATGCCATTTTGACACAAATTGATGCTATCACAGTGATTGCGATGGCATAAAAAGAGCCGCGATGGCATCAATTTCTGTCAAATCGCAAACAGGCTGTTTTGTACATGTGACATTGGTACTGCGCACCCCGTCATGCAGATATCATGGTCAGGCAGATGTGGCACACGTGCATTGAATGTGTCATCGCACCAAAGACAGTGATGCTCCACTGCGCCTTGATCATGCATGCAGCAAACCCTACATCTCTGTGGCTTGCAGCTCGGTGCCAGTACAATCGCAAACGAAATTGACAGTACTTAGGCTTTGGATTTAAACTGTTGACACTTTTGTATTTGTAGCTAATGACGTGCAAAATGGGTTTTGAATTGCTGTGAAAAGGCGTGAAAATCAACACTGTGCTCTTATAGACAGTACATACAGACTCTAGGAGTCCAGGGAGTGGCAGACGCGCTGAAGTGTGCAAAAACTGGTCTTCCGCTTGGCGACGTCGCTGCCCTGCTGAGGGAAAGGTGCGCTCAGTGTTTCCATTGCTAGAGAGAATAGAGCACGGATCATTGATTGGGATATCATCATGCAATCTGGGCGTGTCTACGAACCGTAAATATGCATGAACATGGCCGTAAAGATTTCCGTTTCTCTATTCACATGTTTTCATGTGCAAAAACGCAAAAATGAAAATGGAGTCGTAAACTCAAATAACAAGTCCGACAGTACTCATTGGAATCACTGTTATGGCGCAAGCCCTTCCAGCACTGCAGATGTTGTCGCCATTTGTCATCTGTTGTTCGTGCCAGTACGCGCTGTGCCAATGCAACGCTTTGTTCTGCTGAGCATGGTTTGCTTGAGAGCAGCACTGCATATGGAGATGCAAAGCACCAATGATTCTGGATTGAATTCTGCTAGTAACTGTGGTAAGTACTTGACTGCAGATATTTCTTGATCATATCGTTTCAGTTGCTCCATGGGAGTGACCAAAACTTGCTCATGCCAAGCACACGATCCTTATCTCTTCTCACATAAAATGAATTGAATGACTCGCATTCACAACATGTATTGCCACACTATCATGAGTTTTGGTGTGTTCAGTGTATGAAACGGGACCAATACCCACCGTTGCAGCGTTTAATGTGCAAGCATGCTGTGGCAATCCATGCCTTGACGAAAAAATTCGTAAAATTGCAAATCGCTACTGAGGCCCAGTTGCTGCTCAGAGATCGCTGCTTCTGGAGCACCAATACATCTAGTGTTCCACATAGAATGTTTGCATTTCCTGTCCAATTTAATTTCAAATGTCGGCTAGGGCAGTAAAACAACTTATATTGATCACAAGGCGCTGGCATTGCCCTGTACAAGGACCGCGTTATCAATATCTGACGTCCAGAGCCGCTTGCGGTCATGGCCTTGCCTGCATCCAAGAAGTGAATGGCGAATCGAGCTTCCATGAACAATTAACTCCAAGCTGCACGTCAAACATCGACGGAGGGTATCTGCATTGCAATGTTTGAGAGGCGAAAATTCATGGAGCTGCTTTTCAGGGCACCACATGGAACTCTGCCCATGAGCTTACCAGTTTCCAAATCAGGACGGCAGCGAGGACCACGTAGAACAGCGGCTGCCCTATCTTTGCAGCCAGTCGGAAATTGTGGATGAACTTCTTGGATGGCATTTCTGTCATGCACAGCACAAGGTGATTCAGGTGCACCGTGCAAGGAACGCGCTTTCTGCGTTGTTGAACGGTGAATGGCGGCGAACGCCGACACTTCCCAACGATCCCCGCGGCCTGGACCTCATGGATCAAACGACAAACAATGGATGCTTCTACCTGGTTCGCATACGTCCGCAGCATCCCCTTATGCACGCTTCGCCAGAATTTGCTGCCACACTGACAAAGGCAGGCAGGGTCGAGGGACGGCGACCCCTGAACGGGGCTCGCGGCCTCGATTCCACGGTTCATAGCCGAGAAAAAGGACAACAGGATTTCTGTTCCTTGTACCCAGTTCGTTCATCGATGCCCTCAATGCAATTCCCAAAGCCTCATCATCTTTTTATGTGTTCAGCTGTCAATAACACTCAATCAGTTTCAGTTACAACAACACCTTCCCACAATCTTCCAGCGATCACTGCCCTGGCGGGACGATCTCCAGCGAAATCACGCCTGCCCCCGCGTCCCCATGTCGCGCGGCTCGCGCCCTGCTGAATCAAGCCTCCCCCGCAGAGCAGCAGACAGACTGGGCCCCAACCCCCATCACCCTCTTCGTGCTCCCCATCCATGGCCTAATATCAGACCGCTTGACTGACATGGCCAGGGTTGGCAACCGCGATTTTGCAGTCGATCGTTCCGTCAGAATGCCACCCACCGGGTCGCTCGGGGCGCGCCTCCTCCTCCTTGGGCGCGCGGGCGGCGGAAGAGTCCGTCATCTTGATTCCGGCGACTGCCTCCTCACAGTGACCTCACGCCCTTTGGCACCTGCCTCTGACGCGAAAGGCGGGGAGGTTGCAGTTCAGCGGTGGCTCGGCGCCCACGCCTCGCGCAGCCCCCGGGAGCCGCAGCCTAGCTGCCGCAGAGAGGCAGCCACGCTCGTCACAAAGGCGCCCGAAGGTATGTCAGCATGAGCTTCAGCGCTAGGGTTGGGATCAAGCCCCATTCCTGCCTTCGGGTTTGCTGCGCTGGGACCTTAGCTGCGCTTTCGCGAAGTTTATTTGAACTGTTGCCTACGCGGCGCACAGTTGTCCCCAAGGCGTTGGGCCACACAGGAGGGACTGGCAATGATGTCACGCGGCGATACGACTCGCGTCATGCTCAGACATGGTGCCCCTTGCGGACGCCGCACTGGTGTGACCGAATGGCCCCCCGCGATGTTCCAGTGCAGCAACAGGCGAATCTCCGCCTGCATCCCTCAGCAAACTCACCCACATTGCGATCCCCCACCTCCTCCCCATGCATTTCAAAGCATACATCCTTCACTGTGGCGAACCCCGAAAACCGAAAGCGGATGGCCCAAAACAGCCCATAAGCGATAAGCCCCGCCAAGAGGCTCAAGCCAGCGCGCACGGATCACCCTCCGTCGCACGATGATGCGGTCACCCGACCCAATGCCCAGGGCCGACAGCGCCGGGGCTGTCTGCGGCTGCAATCCAAGGGACCCGGGGCCCCCATGCGCATGACAGTCCGGTGTGACTGGAGGCTTTGAATCCGGCGAGGAAGCCAGCGGCGTCGGAAGTAGCCAACAAGGGGAGCGCGGCACCGCCGTTCGCCGCGACTTCAGGGCCACAGCCCTTTCCCGAATGGAAACAGTACCGTCTCGCCACAGACGCGCTCTTTGTCACTGCCGCGAGGCCCGCCGCTGGCTCATCGAGAATTGCCACAACCGATCCCCGCTCCAGCCGCCGCGCCCACGGGCACGCGGGCTGGCGCACCAGGCGCAGCGCGCGTCGGCAGTACAGCCGCAAAACCGCGGCGCCCAGTCCCCGCATTCGGCCTACTCACCTTGAGACCGCCCCAGCGCGCTGTGGGAGGCCAGAAGCCAACTAGTCCCTGCGGTCTTTCGCGGGCGGGCGGGCCACCGAGCGACCCTGTGGGAAAATTAACTCGGGGGTGGTGGCGGGGAGGGTGCCCCACTGCCGATTTTTCGTGATGCTCAAGACACGGACAGTTGGCGACGGGACATATGGGGGGAGGCTGCGCTGGAAGATGGCGCCATGGCCATGGCGATGGGACGGGGGATGTGTGAATCATGTGACGCGCGCGCGTCGCATGGGGGACTGTCGTGGAGGGGTCCAAAGGGATTGCCAAAGGGGTGTCCGAGCTGGACGCGCAAGTCCCGGTCATTGAGAACTTTGGTGCGAAAATGAATCACCGAGTGTGCGCCGTTACGTTACGGCCTCCGCCACAACCTTACATCAGCATACATTAGAAAACGAGTTCTATTTCAAGCGACCCACTGCGGGCCAAGCGTCGTATGCCGCTTTATGTGCATTCTGCATTAGACTGCAAGGGGGGCAGTACGTGAAGTTCGCTGGTGGGGTGGCCCGGATGCTGATGATGCGTCTTGCATCTCATCTGCTCCTGCTCTCCACCGCAAACGCGCTGCATTCAAAACCGCCAGTATCCCACAGGCTTGCGGCCAAGCGGCGCTGCTTGTGGCCAACCAGCGCCAGCGCAGCCTCTTTGCTGTACCGGCGCGGAAGCGAAGACGGCAAGGGACGCATGAGGTGCCCTGCCTCTGATGCACGCTGCCAATACAAATGCAACATGATCTCAGGGTAAACCACATCGCCATATCGGCATGGAGGCGGCGACACCAACCGACTATTTGCGCCCAAGTCCGGGCAGCCCGGCGAGGGTCATTGGGGGAATTTATGCTTCGGGTTGAACACAAACTGCGCTACTGCGTAATTGTCCTCACACCTGGCCATGGGGATCCGATCCGAATCAGACAGAATTCGCGAATTAGGTGAGTTCGCTTGCAAAATCCGACCCAGCTATGGCAATGCTGAACGCAGGTGGTGACGGTATTGTAATGCAGACAATTGTCTGTCGCGAATTGTGTCTCTCCTGTGAAATTTCCTGTCGCTGGTGAATGCTGATCCATACTAAGCCGTCTATCGTCTGCCTGTCGTTGCGACATGTCAGATGTGAAATGGCCACTTCGTTCTATCACGCTATTTTGCAACTGGTTAAGGTTTGGCTGGGTTTTGTGCTGGTGCCATCTCGTACCGGGAGCCGTCCACTGCAGTAAAAACAAGTGATTGCTGGAGGTCACAGTTACTGCCACTGCGGGACAGCGCTCGTTCCTTCTACTTATATAGGCATTATTCTCTTACACGCGGCACAGCAACGCCTGCGCAATCCCCCGTGCACAAATACATCGCTCTGGTCCAACAGAAATGTCGCCTAATGTACCCTGGCAGCCACTTCCCTCCCATGACTAACACAAATGTCGCCCAGTGTACCCAGGTAGCCACGTCCTTCCAAAATTCGATGAGTAAGGTGCACCGACTGCGATGCGCAGCAACCTAACAATTATCTACTGGGGCTTCAAACCGCAAAAACCTGCCCCAGTGTCAACCGCACAAATCACATCGCCTTTAGGCGCTCTTCTTGCCGCTGGCTCCTGGCCTCCTGTGCCGCCACGCCTCGTGCACAAAGTCGATGTTCCTCAAGGCCGTCCACACGGCGCTGTTGCACTTGAAGCCCGAGCCGAATCCCACTTGCCACACGACGTCGCCTTTCCGCACGCTTTGCACAGTCTCTGCGTATGCCAGGGAGTACCACACGGTGGCGGACGATGTGTTGCCGTACCTGGAAGCAGATGGCGTGGCATTCACCACTTTTGCTTGTTGACACTAATGTTGCGCACACGCTGTCTGGGGTTGGCAGCGAAGGCATTGTAGTCACTTTGGGGATACGGCTCGCACTTTTGAACACACGGGGTTTTGGCATTCCTCACTATTCAGCGTCTGAACCTGGAGGCTCACAATCGTTGATTGGTTAGCCTGTCGCATTTCGCTTTTGCAAAGTTCGATTGTTAGAGAAGTCCGCGCGAAGAAGTCGAGAAACGTTTGCTAGGATGGTGGCGTCGGCAATCACAGCAATGTCGTATTGGCTGATGTCTTTGCCGACACTGACTACCCTCTGTATATACCCTCGACAAAGGTGCACGTGATCACTGCGTCATTGCGCACGTATACATCGCCAAATCAGCCTCACCCACTCACCATTCCAGTGTTTGGAAGTTGGGCTCCACTTTGTCTTTTGGCAACCCCAATTGCTTCTCCAGACCTTCGATGACGCCCCGACCGCCTGCATGGAGGCAAAAGTGGTCGAACGCCGTCTTGAAGTCCGGGACGTACGTCCTTACCTTCATGCCCACTACCTTTTGGGCGATCCAGTTCATGGCGAACAGGGACATCTCCGAAGGCGGAAGCACAAGGGGCGCCAGTCGGCTCAAATTCCGCTGCAGCGCCTTTCCTGCGATTTTGACCAGGTTCTTCTTCAGCTCCACCCCGACCTCTCCCGTAGCATCCGGCTTCTGGTACACGCACCTGAATCCGAAACATCGATAAGGACAGTACTTAATTGCTTCGGAAACGGACTGCGCACGTCCAATTTTGGTATCCAAACGTTCAAGGTGTTGTGGTGTTTGGATTGCATCGGCACGCCATACAAAACATTGGCCTTGTGCCTCATAGGTTGTGGAGGGTACGCGTGTAGCTCAAAGCACTGGCGGATGCTATGATCCCTTTCTTCATGTGCGATGCGTCGAGATCATGGTTTGGTTGGATGGTATGTCCAGATCCAAAGAGTGAAGCGCTTGTGCTTCTGATTAGCCCTAATTCACAGCGCTCATGTCATCTACTGCTTGGGGGCCAGAATCAGCCCCCGCACTGATGTTGCAATAAACTAGCGAATTGATGCAGTTGCTTAATCGCAAGGGTCCCACGCATCTGGGTGTTGGAAGCCCACCAGCAACAGATTTCCAAAGTCTTTCATCCAGCACAAAGAATTGCTATTTTAAGCTGCAACACTCCTACGCCGATCCCGCAGTGTGGTCTATAATGGCGTCCATGTGATGGCACTGGAAGACTCGACCTGCACTGAATGCGCACAAGTCTGTGCTTCCTATCGAAATTCTCGGGGATTTCTCTCCTGGGACCATTAGGGATGAAATTGAAATGCACAGTAGGATTGCAGAGTGTGGCAGTCTGGCCGTGGCATTGCTGCGTATACTCACTATTCTTGAAATAGACTATATGGTCATGTTGCAATGCTGCATCCAATTACATGCAGTGCTATTGTGCTCAATTGTTCTCACACAACATCAGCAAAAAGGAGCAAAGGGTTGCTATGAGCCTGACTCGGCCCTACCTGAAGGCGTCGTCATCAGCGCCGAGGTGATCCCTGATGACGTGGTTCAGTTTGTACTTGGCACGGTGCCGCTCTGAATCCTTGTTGGTCATGACAATGGCCGCACCGCCCATTCTGAACAGCACGTTTGGAATGAGCATGGAGCGCTCGTTCCCAAAGTACCAGTTCTGGGTGATGTTCTCTGTGGACACGATGACAACGTACTGGTTGGGATACACCTGTCGCACGAAATGCAAACCATCAAAGCCAAGAAGCACTTCCGCACAGGGGTCTCAAGAACAAGGTTGATGCATACATTATAAGCGCACTCGCACATGCGCACAGAGTGTGTATGCACTTGAGGATCTGAAGTGAGTGTCCTATCAGGAGTGGCGCAAGAACTGATTGTGGCGGCTACGCATCCCAAGAGTTCAGTTTTGTTGACATGATTGGATCCCTTTTACTGCAGCACAAAAGCTCTGTTGACATGGTTGGATCACTTTTACTGCAGCACAAAACTTCTGATGCACAAGTCTCAGCCTTTCGAACAGTGCGAGCAGAAAATAGCAACAAGAGTGGACTGTTTTCTGTCAGAATTGCCGCTGAACAGAAACCATAACGTAGCAATGACACTGCGGCGCTGCTCGTGCAGTTGCTAATCTGTTTCAAGCGTTGACCGCATGCAAGGCTGATTGGTTCTGAAGTGAAGCCAATGTGCACCAGAACACTTGAAGCTTAAAACGTCTGGCCCTATCGTTTGTGCAGCACTGACTGCAGATGTGACATGTCGCATGTATGCAGAGATGGAAGGCGGTGAGTGGGTGGTGGACTACGGTGGCATCCTGCCTTTCTGCAGAGATGGATCCAGGCCCCTTGACCCCTGGTCAGCGGCAATTGTGCCAACGTGCTATCCAAGCGCCAATAATTGTGGCATTGCACATTGCAATAAAAATGAGGATCAACCTGAGAAAAGCATTCACTGAGAGACGCTGAAATCTAGCTCATGACTCTGGCCAAGAAATTCTTGCGTTCCTTGTCAAACATGCCACATATACATCGAAACGAAGAGAACCAATGGTGCTGGAGGCCAAGTTCTAAGCGCTACCTTGAGGAGCTCATTCGCAAGGCTGACTGAGATCATGCCAGCCGAACAGCCCATCCCCGACAGGTTGTACGACCGGATGTCGGACCTCATCTTGAAGTGATTGATGATCATGGCGGACAGCGAGGGGGTGGGATTGAACAACGAGCAGTTGACGATCAGTATGCCCACATCCCGCGGCTTTATGCCCGTTCTCTCCAGCACGTCCCCCACGGCCCCAAACATGACCATTTCCGCCTCCTGCCTGGCGGTGTCCATGGTGATATCCAGCGGCGTCGTGTGCAGGCCGGGAGGCAGGTACGTCTCATCGCCCAGGCCTGACCGTGCTATGAGCCTGCTCTGAAACTCCAGCGAATCTTTGGTGAATTTCTGCAGAAGAATGGATTTGGTGAGTCAAGGTGTGGCAGCCCAGCTTCATCGAATACAGCAAATGCGGTGCAGCGCTTCTGGTTGCGCTGCAAATGAGCTGAAACACATGATGGTGGGTGTTGAGCGTGTTCATGTGCGCAAAATCCAGGTGCGCCATGACTAAAAGTCTCAATTGCTTTTGAAGTATAGAATGCACTGAAGCCTACCATTAAGTGAGAAAATTGAAAGCGGGAAGTGATGATTTCCGAAAGCTGCAAGGCATGCTCGCTCACCCAATCCTGAAATTATTTCGCATGAGTTGATTCATTTTTTCACCGGCATGTTTATACTGCAATTTTGATGCAAATTCGAAGAAAATCATATTGCGCACACAAGTTCAATATGCGCTTTATTGCTGTAATCGCGCATCTGCAATGGGCCATGCCAGTAGAAGGAAATAAGACTGCGTAATTGCATCCGAATGTTATTGAATATTATGCACTAGTGAATCACGCACCCCTGAGGCCACCGACTCTTCGTGAAAGAGTGCGTGGCTGCACTTCAGATTTTCAGGCGGCTTGTAGACGGTAAAATCCACGATGTAGGCGGACGAGCTGCGCTTGGAGAAGAGTAAATACAGAAGAGTGACAGTAAGCAGCACGATAGCTAAGGTGGTGCCATCCACAGCGAGGGTCCACGCTCGAAAGGCTTCAAGATTGTCATACATAGCTGCTCGGCTGCTGCCATCTCCAATGCGATGTTTCTGCCAGATCAACGTGATCTATCATTCAGCTCGTGAGGCAATCAAGAACATGAGAGTCCAAAGCGCGCTGCGGAGACCATTCAACAAGTCTTGGGCTGCAACAGTATTCCAATTTCGACGTGAGCATAAGCCCGGCAAAGCAAATTGTACTTCTAGGGCTGTCGCTACCATCAGCGGCACTCCCACTGCGATGGAATTCCCATTGATCGCAAAAGGAAACGGAATCACTTTGACCACAAAAACATCGAAACAATAGGACTTGGACGTTTGCCGCCAGCTTGACAGACGATGAGGCAATTACATGCCGAAGCCATGTGCTAACACCCTGTCAGTCCATGCATGTCTAGTGCGAAGGCGTTTTCCAGCCATTTACCATCCCAATGAAATTGAAGCTTCAACCCCGTGCAGCTTATTCAAATCGCATGCACCAATGGTCAACGTGCCAGTGCCCAATAAAACGCTGACCAGTGTGTGTGGCTCCGAAGACATGCATCACCGCAAACGACCAGCGGGCGCCACAAATCCTTGGTGCCACTGAATTCAAGCTAATGACATCATGAACTCCACGGCACACAACCTGGGAGACCTTTGCCCATCCGTGTCTTATCAGCACTAGACACCACTAGCAAAGAAAAGGACCAAATAGCACTTTTGCGAACAAACATACAGCACATTTTATCAACGTTCTGCACGCTAAGAACACAAAAATAACCCCAACCCGTAAACTTTGTGCACGTTTGAGCACGTGTTATTCGGCCAATTTCTTCCTAGTGCACACGGCCGGTATCCAATTAGAGCTGCAGTCATTTTGCTAAATTCGCAAGCTCTTTCTGATGAAACCTGAACCGCAAATTTAAGCTGCTGCAGGGCCTGCAGCTTCAACAAAAGGGCTTGCAGCATGAACACGTAACCTGTGTGCCTCTGCACAGAAGCTTGTAAAATGGACCCCATGCCGAGCCGCACTGCTGCGGTCTGAGAGACTCACCGCGTTGGCGAAGATCAGCGCTCCGCCAAGAGCTGCCAGCGCAGGCTTTGCAATGGCCGCGGATGCCTGCAATGTTTTGGCGAGCCGCTGAGACGGAAACTCTGAATCACCAAGAGAGCAATTCAGCATCGGCAGCAAACGGAAAAGAAGCCTGCAGCAAAGGCCCGGCGAGCGCAGGCAGCGTCGAAACAGAGGCGTCGCCGCCTGCAGGAAATTCAGATTCACACGGCAACACCTCGCGACCTTTCCGAACAGAGCGACAGTCGCAGTTTCCGCGCACCAAGCAGCTCAGGTTTCCCGACCCAAAGCGTCTCCCGTTGCGGATACACCAAATGCTGAGCGTGAAAACAGTCCTACAAGCTGTCCAGCGTCCAGCAAAATTTCGCCCCATCGTAGAGCGCGCTTTTGGCGGGCCTCACCAGGCACCGGTTGCTCCTGCTCCGCCATCTCAGGAACTTCCTCCTTCCCCCACACCCGAAGAACCCGGCCGCTGCTCGCCACCGGGCGTGCGGGCAACCTCAGCGACGGCTCTGCACAACACACCCGTTGCCTTGCGCCACGGAGAAATTCGCGGCCTTCGCCACAGTGCTGCGCCCTACGTGCCGCTTGGCTTCGCGCAACGCAGCGGTCATCCGAGTGGCAACCGTGTTACATGCGGCGGGGGGCTGGGGACGCCGATTTACGGGCCGCGAGCCGCGAGGGATGATGAGCGATGACCCAAGCGCTCATGTCCGCCTCTGCGAGGCGTCACATCGCACGCGTCCGCACAGCTGAGTGCCCACCCGACTGCGGCAATGCGCCGGAAGATTATGCAGAGCAAAGTCGCGACCGCGCTCGCCATGCCCCACGCTCATTCCCTGACACAACACGGCTTGCAGACCACAAGCGCCGTCACAAGTGCTGGGTCTGGGCACACTGATGTCGCCGGCCAGTGGGATGATCGGCAGAGGTCGCTGAGCCACCTGCCGTTCTTGCACTCCCTCCTAGCAGCACGGCGCCCCAAACACAGTGGAGAATTCATTGGAATCGTGCATGCGCCATTCATGCACACACACCTTGCTTTCGACGCCAATTGCCTCCTGTCGCAAGCCGCGGCGGTCCCCACAATGCAGTGCGCAGTCGTAACTACCGAGCGCAGGGCCAGCTGCTGCGCTTGCCGCGGCGCCCAACGTCTCGGTGCCGCAAATCGCCCAGAGTGCGCCCCGCGCTGCCGCCAGAGATACCCGCGACGCGGGCGACGGGCCCAAAAGGACCAATTGTAGCGTTTAGGCTCGTCATGTAAGAAACACGAAGGGGGAGCTCGCTGATGCACAGGCGGTATGGGGGCTTGAGGATGTGACGGTAGTTGCCACGTGTGCCTCGGGATTCGGTTCCGATCGGTGCCGATTCTGGACCGATATCGCTGCCATATTCAATTGGTCCCATGCGCATGCACACGTACAACGCATGTTTCTGTCACTGCGCGCCAGGGTGCGATCTGTTCAGTGCAGCGGAGCGCGATGGCGAGGCCGCTTCCACAATTGTCCTCCTGTGGATCGCAGGGGGTTTAGGCTTGACCACGCGGTGACCACCGCAAAAATGATGAAGTGCAAGGAGCAAACTGCTGTCATGGGCTCTCGTTGCGAGAATCACCCTGAGCGCCGTTGCCTCTGCCACGTTGCCATTCTTCGTTGACACCGACAGCAGAAGACTTGTTCTTTCCAGGAATGCGAAGGTGCAGTGACAGGCCGGAACGTTTTAGCAAGGCCAAATTCAACATTGGCTGGATGCAACGCGGACCAGCGGAGCTTGGCGCACGAAACCAACTCTCTAGATCAACAACATGCAAGAACCTCAGTGACGACCAGTCATACGCCCCTCGGACAAGTCGCATTAGCCCCATGTAATTCTGAGGTATTTCTGGATAGCCTCACAGCTATGCCGACGTAGGCCCGATGCCACTGTTGGGACTCGGTTTGAGGAAAAAATACTAAATAGGGACCAACCTCGAGGTGTTCCTAAGAAGGAGGTCTTAGGAGCTCCTATGAATAGAACTACTCTCCACATTTTGTTTCGTCCACCAACGGAGTGCCTAACGCTACAGAAAACACTGTCTTTGCGATGCCAACTGTGATGGCATTTTAACACAAAGTGACGCCATCTCAGTGATTGCGTTGGCGCAAAATTGAGTGCGATGGGATCAAAAAGGGTCAAGTAGTATTGCAGTTGGGATCGCAAGAATGTCTATTTCTACTGGTGTAAACTGGTCTCTGAAGCTGCAGGTTTTGATCTTTTGCTCTTGCGGAACTTGGATAATCCCTCTCAAGGACAGAGCTCCAAAAGACACTTTATATTTTATTGGTGCTTCCATACATTACGAAAGTGGTTCTTCACATTCGTATGAGTTGCATGCGAAATGCTCCTGGCGGGACTTGGATAATCCCTCTCAACGACAGAACTCCAAAAGGTTCTTTGTATTCTCTTGGTGCCTCCTTTTATTATGAAAGTGGTTCTTCACATTCGTATGCGTTGGCATGTGAAATGCGATTGCTGGCTGCATGACCTGCGGCCCAGAGCGCCTTCAGTGTGATCTTTCTGTGCAATCGCGCACGCTGCCAGGACCTGCACCAACTACCATTGTTTTACACAACGCAAGTCTCCAAGTAGCGGCCCACATTGTGGCCGATTGGGGGCTTTTCTGAGCTCAGTGAGTGACCGCATTCGAGCAAAGGATGTGAAAGAACAATAGACCATTACTCTGATTCCTGGCTTGCAGATATTTTCTCTTGTCTCGTGGGGGTTTTTCTAGGGGTTCGATGGCAGCTGTGGCCGCCATTAGAGGCGTGTTATCGGCTACACAGTTGGGCCCGGACGTGCCCCTCACACACTGGATTGGTACGCTACATTGATCGATGCCGTGACGTCATGTGGATGCATCCATGTAAGGAAGAAACAAACAAGCAACAAACAAACAAGTAGCCGCGCACGGTGGTCAGCGGACCCCTGGCGATCCCCTGGGCCGGTAGTTATGGTGGTGATGCCTGCACAGCCTCGCTCGCTTGTATTCCATTCTGTCCCAAACTGCATAACTGCACTATATCAAGAGCTATCAGCGAACATCGCAACACTTGAGGCTCAAGAAAAAGATCAAAGGAGGATAGAAAATATTTCCTTCTTTAATCAGTGGCAACTTCGCCGATAAGGGGATAAAAACGGCTCGACAGAATCAGAGGAACTCGGTGGAACCCTAAACGGAATTTGGTGCTGGGATGCAAGGCAGGCAGTTGGCTGGGCTTACATCACCCAATGCAAATACATATCCACGAATGGCCATGGCCATTACAGGGAAATGATGTGAAGATAAGGTGTTCTCTTGAAAATTAAAACGGACATTGTATGGGATGTGCGACTAAGGGAATAGTACACAGCAAAGTTCGATATGTCGCGTCGTTGATACTGACGGAAAAGATCTTTGATCATGCGATTTGATAGACGATCAAAATTTTGCAAGAATTTGTGCACTCGGCTTTTGTGTGGCCACATGACATGAGTCATGCCGTAGGACCAAAATTGGCACAAAATCTGATGGCTTTTCACCATTGCGTGAGCAGCTCATGTTTCAAACGCTCTAAGTCAGGCGATGAAGAGTTTCCACAAATAGACGGTCCGGATGATCAGTGAAGCTGTTAGTGTGGATTGTCGTCTTATTTGCCTGATCAGCATCGGCGAGGAGCCGCAACAGCTAGATGCTCCGTGGCTACTGTGCGCGACAAGAGAAAGGAGAGTCTCCTTTGTGTCAGCACATTTCGCAGCAACTTGAAAGTTTCTGGTGGCCCCTGAGCACTCCCACAGTGCATACGTGCATCCGTGTGACCGAGGAAGTGCAATGTGCTCGTAGGGGCGTGAGGTCGGGCCGCCTTACGCACCGGAATCAACAATTCACTGCATCAAGGGCCCAGGTAATCTCTGGCAAGGAATCCCGTTGGTTGATGGCGGTGGCGGGATCTATCACCACCACGGTCGCAGATCAAAACTTAAGTCAAACCAACATCCCCCAATCTTAAAGGCGTAATTCAACAAATGATTCTGCTCACAGATCCGAGCAAGGTCCATAGAAATCACACCCACGCGGTATCCACGGTGCAAACGGACACAGAATTCAGTATACTCTCCCAGACATCCTGGCCTAATTTTAGATTCAAAGCATGGGAGAAAACCCACCAGCCATCATTTGTAGACAATGTTTGTAATGCAGTGAAACCTGTCGAAACAGTTGAGAATTATTCCTTGGATGGCGCACCGAGCCCCTTCCATTCCGTTCGCGGAAAAATGGCGTATACATATGTATTCGTTCGTCACCATGTCATCGCGCAAAAAATGTACACGAATGCGCTTCCTCATACCAACCCCAAAACAACATAAGCATGAAAGAATCCCCGCCCCCAAATTCCACGTCCATCGCCACGCACTACCACAGCCTGACGTCATCGCCACAACCGAGCTCGCTCTCAGCGGCACAACAAACGCGAATCCGCCCACATGCTGACAGCATCACCTGTCCCAAACAGCGGAGCGGTGTTCAGTGCCGCTTCCAGCGCCTGTCGCCCCCTTCCCCGCTCTCATTTGCTTTTTCTCGCGCGTTGATGCGGGTATAGCACGGACAGTGACATGCGCATCTTGTCCATAATAATAACGACATATGTAGGAAACGCTGCGTGCAGCCTCGAGCCTAGTACCCCTTGTCCCCGCCGCCCGCCCCAGCCGCGTGCTTCTCCAGCATGGTTATCCTCTGCAGGACGTCCTTGTCCCTCTTCCTGTCCGCCACCTTCTGGGCGCGGCCCTCCGCCGCGAGGTAGGCGACGAACAGGCAGGCCAGCAGCAGGCCGTACATCACGTGGTACTTCTTCGAGCCCACCTCCTCCAGGAATTCGTACTCGTCGAGGCCGGTGAAGATGTTCCATATGGCCAGGCCGAGCGCCACGCGGCCCACCGTCCAGTGCACCCACTCCCATTGGTCCCGCCACGCGGTGCCCGGGTGAGGGCGGATGAACGCGTTCAGGGGCTGCAGAAATCCCAGCACCATGGCGCTGATGCCCACCTGCCTGTGCCGGAAATTGTCTTCCCTGTCGAACTTAACCAGTGCAAGCGCGAAGCCGGCGGTCGCCAGCACGAGGCCCAGCGAGTTGGCCACCATGTGGAAGTAGAACCAGTGGGGCGCCTGGTCCTTCATGGTCCTGGCGACGATGACGCCCAGAGGGATGAGTATGCCCCAGCCGACCGTCATGAGGATGCCGTGCGTCTTCCAGTAGCGGCTGAGGTCCTCGACGGATTCCACGGCGCTCGAGCCCGTGGCGAAGTTGAGGGCGACGGAGGTCTTGGACGTCGGGCCGTGGTAGGCGATGCCGTCGGTGTCGGGATGGAAGGCCGCGAGCATGGGGTTCTCGGCGTCGGGGAGGAGGTCGTCGTCAAACATCCTGGAGGATTGCAGGAGAGACTAAGAATTCCATGAAATCGAATGCCCAGGGCCTTGAGATCAACAAGCAGCTAAAAGGCGCTGACCTAAAATAAAGTCATTGTCGTCATGAACAGGCAGAAAGCCTCCTGAATGGCACTGAACGAACATAGATTCACGGTTTTTGAATTTTGTAGTTGCCGGCAAGAATGATTCCAAGAGCACAATGCGAACAAGGAGCGCAACAAGGCGGATTGCCAGGCTCATGGGCGCCCTGCGTACAGAACAGAGAAGAAGAAAGCGCATGGAAAACTGCCTGTGACGCAATGGCCGCACTCACGTTGAAAACCGGACGACGGTCGTCCCGTCCTCCTCCTCAACGGACTCGTCAAAGATTTCGAGATCCGTGCTGGGCACGATGCCGGCGTCGGCCTTGGACGTCAGGGCGTACACGCCCACCTGGTCGCCGCCCGTTCCCGCCCAGCCGATGACCGCCAGACCACCCACCATCTGCCCGGGCGTCTCCGCAAATCCGACGGCGACGTAACCCGCGCCGGTAGCCTCGCCAGCCAGGCGAAGGACGTCACCTTCGACCGCCCAGTGGATGTTCATCGACGAGGGGAGCGCCTCCAACATGCACTCGTACCCTTCCAGGGTGGACAGCAGGCACCCCGAGCCCTCGGTCCCACTCAGGGCGGTGTCGGCGGACGAGGAAGCGTCGCTGGCGACATTGCTCACGACGACACCACCCGCCACCTGGTCCACTGCCTCAGCGGCCTCTCCCCCCGCGAAACTCACGGAGAACCCCTGCCTGCCGGAATGGTACTCCAAGCCGTCGCTGTCCGTGTGGAACGCGGCCAGGAGGTCGTGGGGCCCCTCGAGGAGGAAAGCGTCGTCGAACTTGCGGGTGAATCGGAGAACGGTCTTCCCATCAACCTCCTCTATGGAGCTGTCGGAGATTTCGAAGGTCCCTTCGGTCGTCACCACAGCGTCGACGCTCTTCCCGTTCAGGTCGTACATCTCGATCACGTCCCCACCGTCGCCCGTCCATCCGATCACAGCCTCTGATCCCACCATCTGCCCTGGCGAGCTGGGCCACGCCACGGCCACCCAACCTGCAGCGGTGGCCTCCGCAGCCAGCGCCACGCCGTCCTCCTCCACCCGCCAGTTCAGCACGTACTGCCCTGGAATAACCTCCTGCATGCAGTCGTAGCCCTCCAGCGACGAAGCCGCACAGCCGCCCTCGCCTGCCGCCGATGGTGCCGCGAAGAAATCCACTTGGCCGAAAACGCCCCTTCCTTCGTAAGAAGCGCCAATGCCGCCCCCGTGGAACTTGAGCTCGTCTCGGCCGTAGAAAGCTTTGTTGGAGGCGCGTCCCGTTTCCAAGGAGGAATTGGGAATGTGGGTGTAGACGTCCTCGGGCTGGCCGTAGGCATAGATCATGAGGTAGATCGTGTCCTCGATGATGCAGAAGTCGCCAGCCTGGTCGTCCGTCTGAAGAGCTCGACGGTACTTGAGGTACGTCATTCCATCTTCCTCCTTGCCCACGGCGTCCAGGATGTCGTCCACGCCGCCAAAATAGACATCCGGCAGAGGGCGCGCACGGCTCGGCGTGAAGGAATCCTGGATGCGGAAGGCGTTGCCTTTGGCGTACCCCACCACAATATCTGCGAAAGAGAGAGCGCGTTTTGTTGAGAAAATTTCAGACGAATTGTCGAGTGCGTGAAATTTCGAACTTGAACGAAAGCAGCAGACATAAGACCAGAGAAATGATCAGCCGGGATATGCACAGCTTGAATCGCACCTTGGTTGATCATGGGATGCGCAGCAGGGTTGTCCACCAGCGGATTACGGCACTTGCCCTCCCCGAAGTACGTCAGTGTCGGCCCAGTCCCACCGGTGGAGGGCTCTCCCTCAGAATCAGCACCTGCCTCGGATACAGCCTCAGACTCTGAATCGGCCGCGTCTTGTGCAAGGTGGCGCCCAGGAAACACGCGTCGCGAGGTCACGACTTCTTCTACCTCTCTGTCCAGAATCGGCATGGCAAAGAGCCGTCTTCCATTTGTCTTGTTCGCCACCTCGCCGTCCTCCATGACCAGCACGAAATCGTCTCGCAGTGCAGTGCTAGCGTTTCCGGCAGCGCAAACGCCGCCGCCATTGCCAGACCCTTCCGATGCAGCACCCTCAGACGCCACGGGAGCACCCTCAGACGCCACAGGAGCACCTTCAGACGCAGCTCCCTCAGAAACCACAGGAGCGCCTTCGGACACAGCTCCCTCAGACGCCGCCGCCGCACCTTCAGACTCAGATTCGCTTTCGTTCTCTTTCTTCTCCTCTTCCATATCGTAGTCCTCCTTTTTCTCTCCACCTTCGCCGTATGCGTCCGTTCCCTCACCTCCCTCAACCTCGGGGGTGGGTTCTCCCTCAGACGTGGGCTCTGCCTCAGATGTGGCCTCTCCCTCAGCCGTGGGCTCTCCCTCAGAAGTGGGTGCGGTAGTCGAAGCCGCAGGAGGAGTAGCGCCCCGAATGGAGGCGGCCCGCATGCCCACTGCCACCCAGTTGTCGGTGGCAGCCTTGATCGCAAATTCGATCTCCGCGGCTTCCTCATCGATCTGTAGAGCAGTTGCACATGCCAAAATGGGTAGGCATTGAGAATTCATCGAAGTGATAGACGGAGCAACGCAAACAACGCGATCAGACCAGCAGCCGGGCACAAGGAACCGCAGTGGTTTATTTGGCTGTTGTAATCCTGAAACAGCCGATAACGCAATCTGCAACTGTAGAACCTGGAGAAACCGCCACTGCCAAGTGGTGACGTAAGATCAGAATTCAATCACTATCCATCGAGCCAAAGCCAGTTCAATTCCTAGCTATACAATCAGCTGCAAGGCGGGCTCGACGTCATTCTCCAAGCCGCAGTGAAGCTTTTCTCGTCGTTCAGCAGTACCGGGGACACCCCATAGAGCTCTATGGGCCTCGATGCCCATTTTGTTTCGGCAACAAACTGACCTGGTAGTACACAGCGAAGACACCAGAAGGCACAGATGTCTGCTTGTTGGTATATTCCTCGTCCCACTCGTCGGGATTTCCGAGCGTGAGGTTGGATTGCCTATTGCAGATCCTTGTGGGCAGCATGCTGTCGGGGGCCCAGGGCATCACCTCCTCGCCGAACCAACCTTCCTTGCAGTAGCACTGCTTCCTTGGAGGGCTGGTAGCCTGCGCACAAGCCAGGGCGCATTGTTCAATATGGGTCCCAGCGAAGAAACTAGGAAGTCCATGTGCTGCAGTTAGGCAGATTCAGCAACAAAAACACAAAAGCCCGCTGTCTCATGTCCGCATCCACAATGCATTGGTCCGAAAGACACTCTTTCGCGGAGCTGGGGCTCGTGTTGAAATAGGGTTAGATCACCGAGTATTTTGCATCAGTCATGAACGACGTGCTTAAAACATAACGCAACTGGTTGCTCTTCAAGGCACCGTAGGGCCATTTTGCCAGTGCACGTGCACAATTAGCAGACTGGTGAAGAGATTGGTGGAGCAATGCTGATGCGCATGCCATCAATGCTCAAACCGAAACACAGGATCCAAATCAATGTGCCTTGACCGCTCGATTGCGCAGAGCGTGAACGCAGCAGGAATGCGAGGTGACCAACTCAACAATACGCCTAACATCAGTGCTCACCCCAACGTCGATGCACATGCCCCCCTCGCCGCAGTGCGCGTCTGTGTCACACTCATTCTGCCGCTCACAGTAGGTTCCTTCCCAAAAGCCCGCATTCCGATTTTTGTCACACACGCATTTCCCCTGCAGCCATATGCACACAGATCAAAATGTGTCCGGCGATGAGGACAAATATTCCAGCAGTTTCCATTCATCATACCACGCATCACATGCATCGTACCCATTAGCTGCAACATCAACACTACAGCAGCGTGTTGGTGGCGCTCTTGATTCACTCAATTTCATGACAAGAAACTGCTCCATTGAATTGACTCATGCAAGAGACACACATCATCGAAGTTTCCCTTCCGCTCCATTTACATCCACTGAGCTGTACAGCCCAATCGTTCACCTGCTCGCATCTCCCATGTCCGGAGCATCCGTTGCACGTTGCGTTCTCGTTGTCGGACTGCTCTATGTTCACAAGGGAGCAGCTGCGGAACAGGTAAGTGCCACCCCATTCCAGTGCTTGTCTGACCAGCCTCAGGGTGCAGTTTGTGCATGTGATGTTGGGCAAAGAAAGTTCGACCCACTGCTGGGTGCCATCGTGGGTGCAGCCATAATGGCTGCTGTCATTCCACACCGCAACCTGCTTGGCATCCGCATCATACAGCTCGAAGTTCCATCCACCCTGGTGCGCGTAGTGCAAGTTCCTGCACGGCCACATGTACTTGAACAACGGGCCAACAAGCACAGCAAGAATGGCAAATCTGCACCAGCGCAATAAGCAAATTATGACCAACCTACATAAATTTCGCATACATAGATGGAAGCATATTCTTTGGAATAATCTGCGTTTGCTGGAAACACTAATTCGATTTAGTCCATCACAATGCGGTTCGCATTATTGAGCTTTCAGTTTTGTAACTCATTTGAAGCAAGGCGTGAACTTGTGAAAATCGCCACCTCTTCCCCTTTGCGGCGTTCCAACGAATGGCACAATGCTGATGCTCGCTTTTCAGCAAATTTTGCGCAGTCCCAGCAAAGCTAGACGGTATAACAACGGGCAGTTCTCCCCTACTGTGTGGAGACACTGTCTCGCGAACGGATTGAGCGGCTTGCTTGCCATTGAATCGGCGCGCTACATGCGTCGTGGCGGTTCAATCGGACTGGAATTACCGGCCATGGCCACCAGTCATGCCAATCCCCGCTCCCAATCAATCAAGAATCCCATTAGAAAGGGGACAGCAACCGAAAGTCAACCGAATCAATTCCAATCCCCTCTGACATCAGCGCGCCTCCATGGCTGCGGCGGTGGATCGTGTTGTACTTCCCACACGTCAACCAACCATTCACAACGTCAGCCTCCTCCACGCGCGTCTGGAACGCAGGCTGCACTCACCAGGTGGCGTTCAGAGTGTCGCCGGCCTTCAGGGTCGTGACGGTGTTATTGTCGACCTCCGGCAATCGCCAGTAGCCGCTGTTGTCGCTGCCGCTGGCCTCGTCGCCGCACAGGTTCTTGGTCCGCAGGTTGTCAAGGAAATCTGCGAAGCGCACCCGAGAGGACGGTTCGTCAGATCTCCTCGCAGCGGCACGGTGATCGAGGGGGCATGGCAAAGGTATCCATGCTATGTGCCCGGCTCGCCCCTACGCAGTCGCTGGCCCCGTAAATGTTATGAAGGTCTCCGCAAAAGTGTAACACAACCTGGCCATCCACCGACGATATTCGTGGCCATTGCCGGGAGACGAGCGTCCCGCGCACTCGCGCTCGGCCGCCGCCAGTTGCCACAGGGCGGCCCCTTTGAAGACCCTTTGGCGACCCTTTGGCACGGTCGAACAGCCGCTGGCCCCTCCAGCTGGGAAGCCAGGGGTGAGCAAGGGCGGGCGAGGCCGACCGAGCTGGCCGGCGACGCGCGGCCGCGCGGCACGGCAATTTCGTGATCCTCACGGGGTGCGCAGCCTGTCGGCCGCTGTTCGACACCGTCACGCCGGGACTTGTCACAATTCACCACCCCCCATACCCCTCACGGCCCACGTCACGATAGCCAACGCCAAGGGCTTGGGGATGGCCACACGGAACGCCGCGTCTCTGCTCCGACGGGCCGCGCTGGGAGGCCGCCAAACAGAAGAAAGCCCGCGTCCCAGCCCGCGAAGGAATCGCCTCCAGACCCAAATGCACGCACCAAGGGCGGAGATGCTCGGCGGATATTGCAGCTGGACGTGGGCGGTCGCCACGCGAAGGCACAGCACAGCGCAGAGGAGCGCTGCGGCAGCGCGGGACGACCCAAGCGCGCTGGGGGAGGCCATAGCGTTCCCGTGAACGGCGAGCAACAACTGAGCCGGCAGCGAGGGACCCACCCACCTTATGCTCTGCTCCGTTGGATGGGACTGATTGGGGCGTCAAAGCGGCCCAAGGATGAACGCATGACATCTCCACACGGGGCTAACGGGCGTGGGGGGAACGCGGCTGATGTGACCCCCCGAGCGCAACGAGACCGGCAATTCGGCATCATCTTGAGGAGGAGCACGTAAGGGCAGCTGGAATTGGAGGCTGAGCCTGTTCTCGGCGATGCTGGATGCCTGGTGCTGGAGTGCACCTTGCTCGCCCAAGAAGGTGGTTTGCCTCGAGTGGTGGGCATTGCATAATGGACGAGACGAGGCCGGGCGGGGTCCACATGGAGGGGAGTGCGTCCGCGTGCTTGCAAGGGGCAATTGGAGGAACGTGACAACGTGGTCCTGGCGGCTTTCAACGATGACGGGCTAACTGCATGGTGAGGACAATTGCTGCTCTCAACTCCACGTACATACAAGGAGCTGGAGATGAGAAATTTATTAAGGGGGGGCGACCATCCATGACACCACTGACGTCGTTAAAGTGCCCCGATGCCAATGGACCCTAGTCTCCGCCCTCATAACCAACAAGAACCCTTGTGCACATGCGCACACGTCCAGACACATGCACAAAGGGGCACATATAATTGTCTTTTACATAGTCCAGAGCTCTTTCGTTTGCTTTTTTAGCCAATGGGACACCCACAATCTGTGTGCATCTCCTCAAATTACTGTAGATCACGGAGGATACACCAGTAGAAAACAACATTTTGGCGATGCCAGGTGTGATGCGGTTTGACACCAATTGATGCCATCGCTATTACTTGTGTGCCATCGCAGTCACTGTCATGGCGAATCAGTAATGGAGCCACGTTCCCACATTGACCACTAGACAGGATTGCCACATTGATGCCAATCTAAACACTAGGAAGAAAAGCGCCGAATAACACGTGTTCAAATGTGCACAGAATTTACGGATTTGGGTTGTTTTTGTGGTCTTAGCTTGCAGAACTTTGATGAAATGTACAACACATGTGTTTCATGTGTGTTCGCAAAAATGTTATTTTGGTCCTTTCTTTGCTAGCGAAAACAGGACGCCGATCACAGTGAAAGTGGGAGGATATCCTGAAACGTGCCCCCTGACACCCATGTCAAAATAAGATTTCTGCGACTTCCTTCACTGCGTCGCTGCGTCTTTCGTTAGTGAACGAGCATGTCCCATCATGGGAGCCGCATACCCCCCGCGTTCTGCAGCAGTGGCCATGTTCGATAATGCGGGGGGTGTTATCTAAGGGCCCCCAACTCTATTGAACATGTTGTTGTGCAACACCCGTGCAATCCTCCAGAGGATTAGATCACGGATCAGTGATCTAATGTACAGGCAAGAAACCGGTGAGCATTTCTTTTTGCGAAAGTGGACTGTTCTTTTTTGCGACAGTGACCGGGACACTTCTTGTTTTTGTGACTGTGGCCCAGTTGTTCTTTTCTCACCAGTGGAAAACGGCCTGTTTGCGATGCCAACTGCGATGCCATTTTGAAACAAATTGATGCCATCGCACCCCCTTTTATGCCATTGCACTCACTGTGACGGCATCAATTTGTGTCAAAAGGGCATCGCAGCTGGCATTGCAAACAGGCTGTCTTCTACCAGTGTCTGCAACAGTGGCCATGACTAAAAAGTGGCCTGAGAAGCCAGGCGCGCCCTAAATCGGTTGCACAGCGCTCTCATCCCCGCGCGGGGGCGTCCTGCCCCTCCACGATGGTCCTTGTCCCATGTCAAGACAAACTTGTGTCTCTAGCTGGGGACAGTGGGCGCGTGCAACCCCACCCCTCCAGCCCTACGCTTCCAAATCTGCCCACCCCTATCTCCCATTTCCCTTGGCTGGACCCCACCAAGTCAGGCCATTTCCATCTTTTGGCATGTGGGGGACACCAAGATCGCCCAGCTACAAAGACCCCATAACTTGATCGCCAGGGTTTGGGCGTCTCCAACTGTGTCGAAATGCCTCGGGGATGATCCAGAACGCAAAGAAAGAGCCTCCCACAGGGACTCCCAGGTCGGCACAATCATCAGCCGACGTGCTGCAGCTCCATCTTAAATTTCCGACATGCCAACAGATGGGGTAGGTGACACGTTAACCCCGTTCTTCTATCCCCTGGCCCGATCTGTTTCCCACAGCACCGTTTGGGCAAGTTTAAGAATGTTAAATGCCCATTTTTGCTCGCCGTTCAGCTGTTTGGGCTCGGGTTTGGGCCGTTTCCGTAGAGTGGGGGCCTTCCAGTGTCCCCGCTTACTGACGTGCGGCCCAGTTCGTCCTGAGCATCAGCCGTTTCGGCTGATGTTCTTTGCCGATCTAGGCACTGCAGCCCCTGTTCGGCCCGTGGACGCAGCTCCCGCCCTTCTCACCCGCGTTTATAGCAGGCCAGGGGACGGCCGATGCCTCTCAAAGCTTGCTTTTCCACCAGTTTCAGCCAATTTGGTTGAATCTTCATGTTAGACTGGCGCAACAGCTCAACCGGCTATGATGGGGCACCCTGGTCGTCCCCTAGCACTCCTGTTTGGCCCTTTGGCCCGGTTCTCTGAACAACGCCACCGCGAACTGAAGGTCTCGGAGTGCGCAAAGCGTCGGCCGGACGGCCCCAAGTCACGCATTTGATACCGGCACTGTCACAAAAAAGAACAACCGGGCCACTGTCGCAAAAATGAACAGTGCGGGCGTTGTCGCAGAAATGAACAAAAATTTTGCATTTGCACGCATTCAACGTGTACAAAGCTTACGGGTTTGTGTTATTTTTGGTTCTTAGCGTGCAGAACCTGATGAAATGTGTTTTATGTGTGTTCGCAAAAGTGTTATTTGGTCCTTTTTCTGCTAGTGCATGCGCCACGGCCATCGGTTACCACTTTCATTGCCTTTGCACGACGCCCAACAGGAAACCTGGTTGCCGCCAAAATGTTCGATGTGACCTTGTAATTCAAAACGCACGCGGGAAATCACATGCTCAAGGTCAGGCTGCGCTGATAGCAACTGGTGACCACCTGCACGCACGTTGGTTCTGGATGCCCGCAGCTGCGTCCACGGATGGACGACTCAGGAATGGGGTGGGGGGTTTGGGAATGCATTCGTCCTAAATTTTTGCCCTTCCCGGCTTTTGCATCTCCCAAGAAGCCGTGGGGAGCGACCCAAACACTTTAATGGCAGTTTGTCAGCGTCCAACATCGATCCCTCGTGTCAATCGCGGGCATCGCATCACGGCACAATTTGTGAGGATCCAAGGCTGAGCAGCCACACTAGTTTCTGTCACAAAGCGCCTCACTCCCGCTCAGCAGGCCTTTCGAATGGCCAAGAGTACACTTCCTTCTGATCAAGCCACGACAGAGTTCGATCGTCGGCAAGTTCACCCGCCTAGCCTCACACTGGTCCTACACAGTGTTTGTGGGTTTGAGAGAAGATCTACAAATCTGGGATCACCCCGCACCTTGCATTCCTGCCAACCTCTAGCACGAGGGTTTTCTTCCAGTGCTTCTAGAGGGACTGGACTCACGGAGAGCGCGTCGCCAGCCTCCATCGCCAAGTTGGGCGTAGTCGTAAAGTGTCGGAAGGGAGAGCATTGCCCTAGGCTGGGTGGCGCCGGCAGCCACGTTAGGGCGTTTCGGTGAACCAAACGGTGTCGGGTTCGAGAGGTGAGCAACAGCTCAATCAAAGCGCCCTCCGTTGTCGATCCGCTGGGCAGAGCGCTTGCGCGACCGGCGCTCCCGCCACCCCAACGCCCCGGACGGGAAGACAGCAGGCACCAGATGTCGCGCTTGACACCTTGTCCCATTTTTCGGGAGACCACTGCAAAGCCAAAACTCCGAATATGTAAAAGGAACCTAAGAATACAATTCCTATACGACATGTGCACTATGTGGTAAAAATATCGATCGGAGTAAAGTCCGCTCCAGGCTGCCAATTTGAATATTTGGTGTCCATGCGTGCCTGGGACACCCTGTCCCGTTGCGCGGCAGACTATTGCGGATCGGCAACTCTGGATTTGGACACAAGAGTAGAATAATGTCATTTGAGCAAAATGTGCAAGATGTGTTCAAAATTTCAAGTCAATCGGAGCAAAAGTCTCTCCGGAGCGCCAACTTGAAACTGCGGGTTGTCCCAAGGCGGGTTTCAGGGACCGCATTCAACATGGTGACCTGACGGTAGGGATTGTGACATGTCACAAGGATCCCATCTGAGAATCTTCACTCCAAAAATCGACTTCAGCGTATCTATTTACCCAAACGTGTTCGGCAGAATTCTGAAAACATGCCATGTGCCATCCTTTTATCTCACCCACACATGAACCATATCTCATCGAGTACATGGCACATAGCATAACATAGCAAATCAGTGCCTGTATCTTTCACCAGTTGCCTCTTATTCAGTCCACTGACAGATTTTGTAAGCTTTACCTATTCAGCTCATTATACCTACTCAATGCCCGAATTTTCACCTTTCCTTCGCACTCGATCGATCTCCCATGATGATGATCTCTCACGAGACGAACTCGTAGACCAGCCCTAGGTGGTTGATAGACCTCGCCATTAGCCACTCGTTTGCATGTTGCCTCATGTTGGCACAGTTGTTCGTCATGTTGCCCTATGTCGCTGCACATTTGTATGACTTTGTTGGCAACGTGCACCTCTTGAGGCCGTATGCTGTTCGTTCCAATGCGCCATCACTTTCACCCCTGCCATGAAAGCCAGTAACCATGAGGCAATATTCTTGTCACCACTCTACGCATACCGCTTTAGTTGAACATGCACGCCTTAGCCACGGAACATTCCCAAGGGTATCGTCGCTCAATAGTGGTGCAACACGAGCCATGTGCTCATGCAACAATCCGAGCGACACAGCCCAACATCGACATCAACCCGTGCTGCCACGTCCTCCCATGGATACATTATTCTACATGCCCCGCCTGAAGCAACCGGTACCAAGCGCTCCCTCATAGGCAAGCAAACTGCGCAACGGGATTTCTGGAGATTTCGGTCAAGTTTGTGCACATTGGAGCTGCATGCAGTCCGCTACGCAAGTCGGCTGGTCAGGGCGCCACCCGACATGTGCTAAAGCATTGTGGAATTTGTCAGGTTTGTCCTAGGGGAGGTCTTGACCTCTGGGCATGGCAATTAGTTCAGCCTTGGCGAGGATAAATAGGCAGGGGGTTTTAGAATTGGCAGTTCAATTGGCTCATTGCGCTATCATGGGTGTAGTGGCGTTTAAACATCAGCACATGTTGTGGTCTGTGCTTCGACTATTGTAATCTATTTTTAGCAAGTCTCCGTCTCGCGCCTCCCAGCGGGATCTTGGGGCGGAAGCCAGTAAGCGGCACAACAATGTTTTCCAATTCGCATGGCTCTCTGACAGCAGTGCAATGCAAACCAAAATTGCGAAACCGGGGAAGGTAGCATCGGTACTATAAACCTTGTATCGAGTGGTTGCACTGGCCAAATCAGTGTCATCATTCCAAATATTTCTGAATTTTTATCAAAATCACGACCTTTGTCAATTGAATCGCCAAAGGTGAATTGCCGCAACCCGTTCATTGAAGTCTAAGTCACTCAATGCGGCCATTTTCGCAGGCCGTTTAGCCATCCTTTTGCTCATCTATTTTTTCCAATCTCACCAATTATCGGCATAACAAGTATACTTTTGTTGTTTCTCTATTGAATTAATCTCTCCTCGTGTCCACAACCTAGAGGTGCTTATTTACACAAGGACAGCCGCAAGGTGAAAGCCACCAATTGCACCTCATCCTATGTGAAGAAGATGCACAATTGGCACACGCAATTGCTCATTTATTTCCAGCTGCGGGTTATCATGCACACGGCGTGCAATCTACTACCTCCGTATCAAAAGCCGTGTCCTATCTGCAATTCTTGCTGTAACTTGCGAGATCAACTCAATCTCAGTCAAACCATCGCCATACTCAGACACCTCGCTAATTTTAATGAAGGCGCAATTTTGAATTTTGTACGCTTCGCCTCAATGTGGCGTTAAGCTCAGAAAACCCCTCCCCCCTTCCTTAGTGCCAATCCTTATTTCGAATCCAGGTTGACTCAGCAGTATTGCCTAACACTGCCATACGACTTCAAATTAGTTTTAAGGGGAAAAAGGCAAACAAGACTGTGGCGATTGCAGTGGTTTGAAAAATGGGATGCCAAAAGCCACCATATGAGATGAGAGCAACACCACAGACTCCAAATTGATCCATTATTGGGATTTCCTAGAAGTTTATAAGTTGTGAGGGAGGTTTTGCAACAATTCGTGAGTCATCTACCACTGATGAGTAGTGTTTTTGTGCGGCTTCCCATTTTTGATTTTAGGGCAATTGCAAAATATCTTAAGAGTCAATGGGTGGATCCTTCCTCCCCTTAACCTCAATTTGGCGCTAAGCGGACAGAATTCAAAGTGGTTTCTTCCCTTAGGTTGATGTGGTTCTTGAATGTATTGGTCATCATCGTACAACATACACATGTACATGAGTTTGTGTGGAGTTGCAACAACCTTGTTGACGCTTCCCGTATGTGCGACCTTTGAGTACAGGTGTGGAGCCAAACTTGGCGGGCTGCGCAACACTACGCAAGGCTTTGACGTCTCAAGCACCGGGATTTCGAAGGAGCGCGTACACTGCACTCTAGGCATTCAAGCTGCATGGGTTCAAACAGATTCTGTGAGAATCCACGCGGCCTCCTTCGAGTTTCCGTTTACGCCTGGAAGGATTACATGAGCCTAGGTGCCCAAGGCCCATTTTGAGCATGGCGGATTCGCTGCCGACATATCCACAAAGGGGCTGGGCATCCTCGAGTTAGTCTGCCTCGAGTCTATTTTGATCGAGCTGGAAATTGGATAGGCGAGGGTATTGTGTTTGTGGACTTTCGCCTGGGCGGCTGCCATGTCAGGCAGTCGCCCTTGGCGCCCAGCGGACGAGGGTAACCTTTTACATTTACAAAGTGGCCACCTGTGTGCGAGGGATGCGATACATTGTGCTACCAATCAAGTACAATCCTACACATTGCTTATTGCAAAAGGAACCAAGTCTCAACCCTCGACACAGATTCGTCTAACATACAGTGCCAAAGCCACACAGTAAAATATTTGATGGTCATTTCGCAACAACCCTGCTAGGTTTCCGGAACAATACTCGCACGAATCCTATGCCCCACACCACAATTTGCGAATTGCCTCGCCACGATCCAATAGTTCAGCGCCTTTCCTTCCCCTTACGATCTGTTGTGATAAGAATATGCAGAGGCCTACCTCCATGGCAACCGCGGAACCTGGCAGGCAGTGCGTAACGCTGTTGCAGCCAGCACAACGCCGCTGCGTTATCCATCCCATTATTCGGTGACATTCCACGCCTAAATCTGAAGCCTCCAATCATGGGAAGTGGACATGCATCAACTTCGCTAGCGTGCAAAACTCACAGCGAAGCCCTGCCTGCCGGAACCATGGTATGCCAAGCCATCGCTGTCAGGATGGAATGCGCCCAGGAGGTCATGGGGGCCCTCCAGAAGGAACGCGTTGTCGAACTTGCGGGTAAATCGAAGAATGGTCTTTCCGCCAACCTCCTCAACGGAGCTGTCGGAGATTTCGAACGTTCCATTAGTCGCCATCACGGCATCGACGCTCTTGCCGTTCAGGTCGTATATCCCAACCGAATCCCCACCGTCGCCCGTCCATCCTATCACAGCCTCTGATCCCACCATCTGCCCTGGCGAGCTGGGCCACGCCACGGCCACCCAGCCCACAGCGGTAGCCTCTGCAGCCAGCGCCACACCGTCCTCCTCCACCCGCCAGTTCAGCACGTACTGCCCTGGAATAACCTCCTGCATGCAGTCGTAGCCCTCCAGCGACGAAGCCGCACAGCCGCCCTCGCCTGCAGGCGCTGGTGCGGCAAAGAAATCCACTCGGCCGAAAACGCCCCTTCCTTCGTAAGAAGCGCCAATGCCGCCCCCGTGGAACTTGAGCTCGTCTCGGCCGTAGAAAGCTTTGTTGGAGGCGCGTCCCGTTTCCAAGGAGGAATTGGGAATGTGGGTGTAGACGTCCTCGGGCTGGCCGTAGGCATAGATCATGAGGTAGATCGTGTCCTCGACGATGCAGAAGTCGCCAGCCTGGTCGTCCGTCTGAAGAGCTCGACGGTACTTGAGGTACGTCGTTCCGTCTTCCTCCTTGCCCACGGCGTCCAGGATGTCGTCCACGCCGCCAAAATAGACGTCCGGCAGAGGGCGGGCGCGGCTGGGCGTGAAGGAATCCTGGATGCGGAAGGCGTTGCCTTTGGCGTACCCCACCACAATATCTGCGAAAGACAGAGCGCGCTCTGGTGAGAAAACTTCAGAGGAAATCTCGAATGCGTGAATTTCGAGCACGGAGGTCAAGAGCAGATGCAAGAGCAGAGGGACGATCAGCCGGGATATGCACTGCTTGAATCGTACCTTGGTTGATCATGGGATGCGCAGTAGGGTTGTCCACCAGCGGGTTGCGGCACTTACCCTCCCCGAAGTACGTTAGTGTCGGCCCAGCACCACCGGTAGAGGGCTCTCCCTCAGAGGCAGCCTCGCTTTCCGAGTCGGCAGCTGCCTCGGATACAGCCGGGTATTCAGAATGGTCACTCTGAATCACGTTAGTCATATGATGCAATGGTCCGGCGAGGTGGCGTCCAGGAAGCATACGGCGCGAGATCACCACTTCTTCTGCCTCTCCCTCCAGAACCGGCATTGCGAAGAGCCGTCGCCCTTTTGTGTCGTTCGCCTCCTCATCGCTGTCCGTGATCAGCACAAATTCATCCCATAGGGCAGTGCTGGCGTTTCCGGTAGTGCAAACGCCACCGGAATTCCCAGATCCTCCATGTGCAGCACCCTCTGACGCCGCGGGAGCGTTTTCTGACGCGGCCCCCTCCGGCGCCACAGGAGCATCCTCTGATGCAGCTCCCTCAGACGCCACAGGAGCATCCTCCGATGCAGTTCCCTCAGACGCCACCGCCGCACCTTCAGACTCAGATTCGCTGCCGTTCTCTTTCTTCTCATCGTCCATGTCGTATCCCTTTGTTTCCTTCCTATTCTCGTATCCCTCCATTTCCTCACCCGCATCAGCCTCGGAGGTGGGTTCTCCCTCGGGCGTGGGCTCTGCCTCAGATGTGGCCTCTCCCTCAGATGTGGGCTCTCCCTCGGAAACGGGTGCGGCGGTCGAAGACGCGGGAGGAGAAACGCCCCGAATGGAGTCGGCTCGCACGCCCACAGCCACCCAGTTGTCGGTGGCCACCTTGATCGCAAATTCGATCTCTGCGGCTTCCTCGACGATCTGCAGAGCAGTTGCGCATGGCGAAACGGTAATGTTGTGAGAAACATAGCGATAACTTGAACTATGCAGCCAAAACTGGTCGAAGCAGAATTATGGTTGCAAATGACCGCAGTGATTCCTTTGAGTTGATGCGCTCCTCAAGCAGCCCACAGCACAATCCGCATCCAGAGAGCCTCAACCAGACGCCACTCCCCAAGTGCCCAACATAACCTTAGGTCGCGAAACACGAAGAACGACAGCGAGCCCTTCCTCTTGGCTGGTTGAATGCTGTTTGCTGAACCGTTTTTCGGTGATATCAATTCAAGTCGCCATTATACTTCTCTTTCCGCTCAGCAGTGCTGACCACACGCCCTTAGAGTCTTGCATTTGGGCAACAAACTGACCTGGTAGTACACGGCGAAGGCTCCTGAAGGCACAGATATCTGCTTGTTGGGATATTCCTCATCCCACTCGGCGGGAGTTCCGAGCGTGAGGTTGGATTGTCTGTTGCAGATCCTTGTGGGCAGCATGCTGTCGGGGGCCCACGGCATCACCTCTTCGCCGAACCAACCTTCCTTGCAGTAGCATTGCTTCCTTGGAGGGCTGGTAGCCTGTGCACAAGCCAGGGCGCATTGTTCAGCACAGGCCGCGACGAAGCAGCTAGGAATTCGGCATGCTGTGATCCATTAGCAATGCATTTGCATAGGGACAGTGTCCACAGTTGCACATTGCGGACGATTTCGCGCACCCACACAACACAAGTTTTTATTTCCCGATTCCTTTCGCTTTATTCCCTGGATGCTGTGTCAACAGACATATTCAGCATGCGCGAGGGAGACAGGTACAGCGACAAAATCAAACAGGACAGGTGCAATTCGTTGGTCTAACAGCCGCTGTTTCGCGCAGCTGTGATTCATTTTGGAATGTACCATGTTGTTGCATATCAGGTCTTAGTCATGTACGATGATAAAAAAACTAAGCATACTTGTATATTAATGCAGTAGTTTATCACGCCAAAAGTCCATTTCTATGTTTTATCACCCCGAAATCCCATTATTAGCCAATGCCAGCTCTCGAGCAGATTCTGAGGACGCATGACAGGCACGTCGCTTTTTCATGCACATTCGGCAACACCCAATCCATATCCATATGTCTTGACCGTTCGATTGCACATAGCGTGACATTACAGGAATGCAAAGCACTGTACTCCAACATACGCTCAACATCGATACTCACCCCAACGTCCATGCACATTCCACCTTCGCCGCAGTCCTCGTCTTTGCTGCACTCATTCTGTCGCTCGCAGTAGGTTCCCTCCCAATAGCCTGTTTCTTGGCTTTGGTTGCATATGCACACACCCTGAAGCCACACACCCACAGCTCTCATACATTTTGGAGAAGAAAACACATGCTTTTACAGATTCTGTCAAATGGATGATGTTCATCATCAAAATCCATGGATTACATTTGTCACAAAATGACAAAACACAGCCCGTGCACCTAATAGGCGATGATGGGCGTGAAAACCACGCAAACAGTTTGTCCGGAATCGATGGATGATATTGGTTGGCGTCAACATAAACTTCGATGCTGAGGTCAATTCCATGGAAAGCACCTGTTTCCTCTAATTGCATCATGCAGAAGACAAACGTCATCCAAGTTTTCACCCACACGGGCCATTCTCCCCGCCTCTGAAACGGGCAGACCAATGGCTGACCTGCTCGCAGTTGCCGTGCCCTGAGCATCCGTTGCACGTTGCATTCTCATTGTCCGACTGCTGTATATTCACAAGGGCGCAGCTGCGGAACCGGTAATTGCCGCCCCATTCCAGTGCTTGTCTGACCAGCCTCAGGGTGCAGTTGGTGCACGTCATGTTCGGCAAAGAGAGCTCGACCCACTGCTGGGTGCCGTCGTGGTTGCAGCCATAGTGGCTGCTGTCATTCCATACCGCAACCTGCTTGGCATCCGCGTCATACAACTCGAACTTCCAGCCACCCTGGTGGGCGTAGTGCAAGTTCCTGTGCAGGTGAACTCAATTGAACAATGGCCAACAAATGCAGCCAGGTTGAAAAGAGAGCTGGCACCACTGCCAGCAAAGCATGGAACGATAAGCAGTTGGGCAACGAAAGTAACAATGCACGTGTGGAATAATTTCAATTTAGCAGTGGCAGATGTCATTCCCCTATGCTGTGTTTGTTTGAGGTGCCGAGGGATTCGTTGGAACCTATGTAACTCTGTATCAAATAGTATTGAACCTGGTACCACACAGCCGCCGTAGCAAATAAATTGAAACTAGCACCGAATAATATCGAATCTGGTGGCAAACTGCCAACGTACCAAATAAAATTGAAACTAGCATCAATGCATAGTGAATCTAGTACCAAATTCGTGCTGGTACCAGAAATGTTGAACGGTGTAACAAAAAATCTGGAACCCAGTACTGTTGTAGCAGGGAATGCTTCCATATCTTTTAGGCCAAGGAATTGCTTTCTAGGAAAGTCGTCAGGGCCGTTTGTATGTTTGATGAGGTGGACGCTTAGCTGAGAGGCGCTATCTGGGACTACCGTGTTGGGGCTTGTGGCTCTATTGAAAAAACCCAACCCAGTGAGAAGAAGAAGCGGTGTCGACAGCACTTCGAGTGGAGGGCAAGGGGCCACGTCGTATGTATCAAAATGTTCGCCTTGTGGCAAAGGGTGTTTGCTAACATAGGGTACCACAAGGCGACGAATGGGAAGTCACGACAGGTGCTGTGCTCATGGTTTGGCACCATGGGAATTGATATCCACCACAGCAAGGGAAGAATGAACTATGCATTGTGGCTTAAAGGCCTATTCGGTCGCTTTACCAAACCCTTCCCCCACCTGACGATCTGCGACCATCATACCGGGGTAGTAAGGACCAAAGAATTCATAACTCATGGCATTTTTGCTACACTCTAGTCCATGTACGACTATTGCATCAATTCTACCTCTTTATGCCAGCCATCAGAGAAGCCTATGCCCTGCTACACATTCTGCAGGACATGGCTTCAGCACCACTTCTAGGTTAGCAGCCATTGTCACATGCCTATTGTTATTGACCAATCGCATGTAGAGGGATGGAACACGCTGTAGGATGAAATTATTTCTTGCCATCCAACCCGTCACTTCCTTGTGCTCATTCAATGTTCCCATTCTATGTAGGTCAAGATCTATAAGTAGCAACCATGTGCAAAATGCAACACGTGCATTTGGTTGAAAGAGACATCGAATTTGTTATCGCGGCTGGCAAAGGATGCACCCCATTGGCAGTTG